TCAAAACACCTGGCACACAGTGTGATCTTAACCAGGCATTTCCTACAAGTTCCAATTGACTCCATTGTATTTCAATTCTTAAATTATACCTCCAATAAACTCTTTCCTTCTAAGCAAAAGAAAGCTGCCTTATATTAAACCGGGAAGGAGCAAACAGACGGCTGGATGAGGTATTGCAGCAGAGTGCATGCACTTATAAGAATGATCTAAATGACTATATGTCATACGATTTCCTTCCTTACAGCTTTCCATCAAATACATGACAAAATACCTACCCAAGTTGTAGCTGGTTAACACAGTAAGTTTACCCTCTAGACTGACATTTACTTTGAATGCTGGGCCAGTGTGTGACTTAATCCACAGGTACCTGATGGACGTATTATTTTCAGATTGGTTATAGATGCTGAGCTCAACCTGAATGCCATTTCTAGTAATCTACTTTAGTGATGGAGAAGGGAAGTGATCTGACCTATAAAAATACTTTTGGAATAATTTATCAGTATAGTAGAAAGCCCAAAATAAAAATTATAAAAGAAAAAAGTGCTTTACAGAACAATGTACTTAATTAGCAGTGCTTGGATTTCTAACCTTGGTTTATACAGCAGCTGTCCTCACTGAACTCCAGGATGTAAAAGCAGAATGTTGAGGAGATAAAAAGCAAGATCAGGTAATCTATACACTGTGGAAAAGTCAGTTTGGAATCAGTCTTTGCACTGTCTCTTAATGACTGCAGGCAATTCTCTTGTCCATCTATAAACTGATATTATTGCTTTCCCATGAATGCCATTTAAAATACTGTCATGATGGCAAATGGTAAAACGGAGGTGGTCTAGAACTCTAACGGAAGTCCCCGCCCCAGGGAGCACACATACTCTCCTGACACTGCAATAGTGTGAAGATTTTCCAATACAGATATCTGAGCTTTGTAAAGTTGTAACTAAACTGTTGGTTCTTTCTCAAGTCATGATTTAGGCAATGTACAATTGTAATAATTCACTCATAATATATAGGCACATTAACATAAATATTGCACAAAATATGCCTTTAAATGAAAGTGAGAGGTATAAAAGCATGTTTCATTTTCTCAAAGAATTCTGAGGAATAAGACTCTGTGATTGTATATACACTTATCTGACATTTCACAAACAGTAGATTGCACTGCAATTTGTAAACATTTTAAATTGCATAAACTGCTCATTGATTTTCAAATATGGTTTAATACTGTATTAAAATTCTTTTTCATTTCAGCTAAGTGCTCTCATACATATTAGTTTATAATAATGTCTATTATGTTTAGAGTGCTTTCCATTCGAGGGAAGAGGTAAAATTCTATGTCAAAGTAGCCAATGTAGAAGAAGACCATTAGCCAGGAAAGTGTAGATGGCAACATCAACATCAACATTCTAGCCTCCGAGAAGCTTCGTGGGCAGAGAGGAATGCTAGCTCTCATGTGCTCTCCCCTTACCATTCTGGGTCCTTGGCTAGAGCCTGCACGCCTGCTTCAGGTCTGGTACAAACTCTTCAAGGATTTCTTATGGTTTGTACTAAATGCATTATGAATGCCAACAGTGTCATTTTGTATCCTAGGGTAAGTAAGTAGTCACCTGACTACAAGAGATAACATAAATTCTACGTTAGAATATATTATAGATATAAGTGTTCTAAGCTAGGGAGGTCTCTCACCTCACAGTCCATGATGGACACTTCCCATTCTTGAAAGCAATCTATGTTTATGTCATCAATAAAGCAGTAACTGTGCTGGAACACAGATCTGCAACCCAGAGCACCTAAGACCCTGATGGGACTGCCCGAGTCCTGCGCTCATCCTTGGGCAGTCGAGGCACACTAGACATACACTACTCTGCACACACTGGCCAGAGCACAGCACTTTCATCCTCTGTGAGACAAGGGAAGTTCCTCCAATGTGACTGCTCCCATTCAGATTACACAGAAATATAGAAAAGATTATTTCCATTCTCAGCCTTCAAACAAACCTAACCACTGGTACTCATAATGGCATATTAGAAAGTAATAAACAGTGCTTATTTGAGGGTAAATCACAGATTGAGCCAATTATGGGCTCTTGTGATTAGATTAGATCAAATATAATAGCAGAACATAAGCAAACATCACCTGAATTCTGTAATGAATATACAATTTGCAACAGCATTGGAGAAGCATGGCAGCCCATTCCAAACCAGACAAAACAGTTTGTGCAAATAGTGGGTCTTTGTGTGTTTGTACTCCCACCATGTAAGGGCAAACTGAATATGCATGCTAATGACCTACAATTGCCAAATTAAAAAAGGAAGAAAAATGCTAAAGGATGCCAGAGTGAACAGCAGGGAAAGCCACACAAAGACCCACTATCCTTGAAATCGTTACAAATAAATGTTAACCGTCAATTAGAAACACAAAGAATAATCACAAGTGGCTCTAACATTCGAACGAAGTAAAGGAACTGTGTAGGAGATATGTGAGCAGGCTGCCTGCCCTGCTCCAGGCTAGAGTCAGACTTGGATAGTGGGTCTCTGGGGTGCTTTCACACTGGAAGACAACACTGGATCCTAAAAAAAGAAAAATGAGGAATAAAATGAACACGATGCAAACTAGGTGGGTGAGAGAAAATCTGACTGACAGTCACATGCAACATCAACTAAACACATTCGAACCACTGAAATCCTCAACCTTCAAAAGTCCCAATTGTGTAATAAAATGAAAACAGTGTTTAGAAGGACAAGAGAAACACAAACGGTAACCTACAGCTTAACCAGCAGCACTACTGCCTCAAAGACTAATAATAACTGATTCACTTCTCAATATCTAAGTAGCTAGAACAACGTTCTCAAATGAATCCCTGGCTCTAAGCATGAAGCATTTCACAGAGCATATCCTAGGGAAACTGTAGGCCTATGTCAACTGATGTTTAGTGAACTTTCATAGCTACTGATACAATGAATTCTGGTCACTGCTGAAAAGCAATTACGACTCTCCAGTTGCTAATCAACAGCTACTGTGAGCAAACCTAACAGACACTCTACAGTTTCCCAGGTGGTTTAAACAGTTGTTTTAGGTAAAACAAACTTTTCAGAGGATCTCTGTGGAAACTGTCTACTGAGAGCTCTTTTATTCCAAGGGTGATGGACCTTTGCCATCCATTTAGGAAAGAAATATTATTTTCAGATGTATTCAAACTACAAAACCCCAGATACCTTAGCCCAAACCAGTGTAGCAGATAAGCTACAGAGACTAACTTCATAACAAAGAGCACTTTGAAACTATTCTTTCTGACCCAGTCCCTTGACTGCTCTACTTCCTCATCTCTAAATAGGTAAGAGAATCAAGAAAGTAACTGGTACCTCCTCCCAACCCCGCCTGCCTCTCTAGCAAACTGTAACTCCTCTCCTCTTGGTCCCAGGCAAATGTCCTTTGAGAAGCCTTCTGCAATGGCATGCCTTCTTCCCCACTCAGACTTAGGGATCTTTCCCAGGCATGTGTTTGTACAATATTCACTATGGCAACGGTTGCATTTATCTGACTGCTTCCAGCTGAAGTCCAAAGCTACTTTAGAGCAAGTACTGTCACTGGAAACTTGAATTCTAAAGCCTGTAAGTATGTGGTGGACACTTACAGAGTACTTATGAAATGAATAAATTTATTGACTGAAGCAAATGAGAACTAAATTTCTTTAAAACTGTGTCGAACAATAATAAATGAAAGACTTCCCTCCTCTTATTTGTCCAAATACTATCATTTCCTTATATTATTTCAGGGACGGCATGACACCAGCTATCTGTAGAGCTGTGCTAACATGCAGCCAATAGCTACAATGGCTGGTTTTAAACTGGATTCCAGCTTATGGTCCTCTGGAATGCTGGAATTCTAGGAGTGTACCATGCCTGGCTTGCCAAAAGTTCCATGTGCAATTTGCCATGTGTCCTTGGATAACTAATTCATGCTTTCTGTATAATCTGGGAACCAAACAAATTTCAAATCCTGTTTCTCTTAAGAATTAGAAACTGGGGGCGTGGCTCAGTGGTAGAGCACCTGCCTACAGTTCATGAGGCTCTAGGTTCAATCAACCCCCAGTACCACCCCAATGCTGCTACTACTGCCGGAGGGAGGAGAGAGGGAGAGGGAGAGAGGAAGTGTGTTACTTGAGCATGGCAGTGCAGGCCTATAATTTTGGTATGCAGAATTAGAAATTGGAAGCAGGAGAATCAGGAATTCAAGGTCATCCTCAGGCACAGAGCAAGTGAAGCCAACCCTGGCTACATAAGACCAGTATGTATATCTTTAAAAAAGCTATCACACAAGCTAGGTTACTTTTCTAGGAGGTTTTTATATTTGAGGTAGATTGCTCCAGAGTAATGGCTTCCTTCTTTTTCTCTCCCTCCTTTGCCCTCTCTCACTCTCCCTCCCCCCCTTTGTATATGTCTGGTGTAATTGAGAAACTGATCTTGATTCATACATATTTTGTGGCATGAGATAGCTCTCTAAGAATTACCTAGTGAGAGTTTTGCAAGCATTTAAAATTGGTTATTTAATTTTTCCAAACTGGATGGTATATAAACACACAGAAAATAAAGGAGGGGATTCCAAAATGAATGGCACCTATACACTAAAAGGATGCATTTAGTCTAGGGAAACTTCGGTACCAGCTACTTTTTATGACTCTGATAAAGAACACTGGGTGCTGGAAGCAGTGGTGGTGGGAAAGGAAGCTGCATTGTTGATGCTGTCACAGCAAGGAACCCACACGAAGGATTACAGAGTTTTATAAAGACAAAAACTAACACTCAAGTCTGAAGCTAGCAGGAAGCATTTATGATAAAGCAGGACAACTTTCAAGCTTGTAAACTGTTATCTTTTGGTTTGTCTTATTTGAAAGATTAATTACATCTGCCGTGAGTGTTAAGATCTGATCCAGAAGAGCAAGGCATGCAATACAGCATACTAAAGATTTCCTATCGAGTGAGAAGTAATTTGATGTTACTCACACTGCTGACTTGGGTCCGAGTCTGTTGTCATCTTAACATAGTTGGAAGGAAAGAGACCAGTCACCCCGTTGATTTCTCCCTGCCACCAGTCAGGATCATCTTTGTTCATGACATTGATCAGCTGTCCCTTGGAGAAATTGAGCTCATCTTCATTATTCGCTACATAGTCATACATAGCGATCACTTGACATACTATCAAAAGAACAGCAAAAGAAAATGTTAATGTATTCCTATGACCGTCAACCCTGTCCCTAGAACTTAAGTGATTATTAAATTCTAAAATTAGGCTAAAAATTTCCTTTATGTGCTCTCTCCCCCAATCTCCTTTCCCAGTCTGTCTCAAGAAACAGAAGCTAAGCAACTGCAGGTAGAAATCCAGGGAACCACTTCTCTTTAGTATGACAGAACAGCAATTTCACATTCTGGAGTATCAGAACTCTGCAGGACGACGGTCCCAGTGGCACGCTGCTCTGAAGCAGAGGACGGGAAAGACAAGTTTTCCATGTCTTTCAAAGAGCTAGCTAATCTAAGACACTCCCCTGCTCTCCCAGTCTTTCAGACGAAATCCCAGGTGACCCACTTTCGTACCAGCGTGAAAGGCAGGTGTGGTCCTCTCACTGCTCGGACCCAGCAGTTTTACATGACTGGCAGGAAACCAGCCCTTCTGTCGTTTTTTCCCTCTGGCCTACAAAATCAGCAAAAGAAATGTGCAATTAAAATAGGAAATTAAAAACAACCACCAAGCTACAACTTTTTTTGTTTGTTTGTTTGGTTTTTGAGACAGGGTTTCTTTGTGTAGCTTTGTGCCTTTCCTGGAACTCGCTTTGTAGACCAGAGATCTGCCTGCCTCTGCCTCCCAAATGTTGGGATTAAAGGCGTGCACTACCACCACCCAGCCCGAGCTACAACTTAAAACAAAAAACCTAGGCTTCCTAAAGACAAGTCAACCTTGCCTATATACTGACCTTAGCACTTGGCTCCTCAGATGGATCTAAATCCTTGCTGTATCATTCCTGGCAAATGTCTTAGTTTATCTAGCATTGTGACTTATGGTTGGTGCTCTGTGTTGTGTTCTATCAGCCCACTCAGATGACAGGGCTGGAGTCATACATATCTTTACCATATGAACAGTCAATTGTACCCATGTGAAAAGCCCCGTTTAAAAACTCCAACACCAGGGCTGCCACAGGCTTCTCTGGCCGGCAATAACTATGTGTTGTCACAAATTATTTCTAGGAAGAGGCAATGCTGTCCTCTGCTCTGATAGAAAGGGACACCATGTCCACTTTGGGAAGCCCTTGCCTCGAAGCCATTGGCTGATTCTAATCTGTACTGTTTCATAGTGACAAACAGTGAGCGCTAACAAGAGTCCTTCTAGTGAATTACGAAAGGTGAGAGCAGTGTTGTGGACTAGTCCTGGAACCTCTGAACTCATCACTGGCCTTTTAGCTCAACGTTAAACAACTGGAAAATTCACTCCACTATGTATCTCAAAGTACTGCTGAAGACACCAGCCATGGAAGTCTCTAGAGAATGGTCCAAGCTAAGAGTTCTCTGGATATTCTGCCCAAATAACACAGTTTAAAGAGGTCTTCCTAGAGCTCCTTGCAAGTTCAAGTCAACTGTTAAGGGTATAGCTCACTTAAAGTACATCCTGGAGCTTCATCCATAATCAGGAAGTCAGTAAAGCACTTCTGGAGGGTCATGTTTCCCGTGGAGGCAGCTCAAAGTGAATCAGAAGGTGGAAATTGTGGGGCTTAGTCAAGAACCTATCAAGTCTGCACATCTCTGTTCATCAGAAATTCCAGGACTACAACGCCAGAACTAAGTTATGCCTAGCCTTCCTGAGCATTTCCACCTCACGGAAACTTACAGAAAGACACCGCTATACCCCTAAAGCGAATTTAGGTCAGGAAGGAAAGATCAGATATGAAAGAAAGCTTTGTCTCTACAAAAACACATGTGCCAACTAGCTGTTAACACTGTTGAGAAAAACTACGCTCATCTATGCCCGCACTGTTTCCTTGCACTGCTGTCTCCGAGGTCTAGGACCTCGGGGTCGGGGCAATGACAGTCCAATGGGGACATTTTCTCAGCACACGGCCAGGTCTTCTCTTTCAAGGGGTACGGCAAGGTGGGTGTCCCAGGCAGAGAGGACGTTATGCTTCTTCCTTTAAGAGAAGGACCTATGGCCTAGTGAGTGATGAGCTGGAAAACATTTACGCTGTTAGAGGACATGATTCTTCACACCGTTACTTACAGGTCAGCTAGACTATGTTGGAAGCAGCAGAAGACCCGAGGGAATATAATGTGTTTAAATGCTAGCGGAGGACCTCTGTGTTACAACTGGGGGTGACGCTGCTTTTTTAACCGAATTTTTACCTGGAAAAGAACGTTACCTGTAGCTCTCCTTGCCACCACCCACTTGTGTTTTTCTTTAAGATTAATATTAGCTGCCCTGGTGCAAGACTGAGCTGCTCAGCCCCGGAAGCAGCATATGCTGAAGTTACTTGAGCGATCTCTGAAAGAAGAAAACAGAACTGTGGATGGCAGACGATGACAGAGCAAACACTAGTCAGTTTTCCAGGTTACTGTTACACATACCAGGTTTTTTGTTTGATGTTCCAGATTTGCCGGCATTCCCAAAATTCTACAAGGAAAAAAAGATGGTTTTTTTGTTTGTTTATTTTTATCGTTTTCAGCAATCCGGGCATGACAATGCAGGTTGACTAAGAATTAAAGATTTCTAACATTCAGAATTCTTGTTTCTTTTAATGAAGACCAAAATGACAGGGAGCTTTGTATTAATCAAATAACTGAGAATCCAATACTGAGAAAGGTCTGCTAACAGGATATTTCCTAAGTCAGTACCTTATATCACACACTTAGATGACAGAAAGAGCTCATTCTACGGAATGTCCCTGACACTAAAGATGGCTGTCTGGAATATATTAGTTTGGTTTTGACTGCTGTCATGACACACCTTAACCAAACGCAACTTGGGGAGGAAGGGTTTATTTCATCTTACACTTCCAGATAAGAGCCCATCAGCATGGGAAGTCAGGGCAGAAACTTGGAGAGGCCACGGAAGGGTGCTACTTACTGGCTTGCCTCTCTAGCCTTCTCAACTTGCTCTCCTATACCAGGACAGCAGTCCAGGGGTGGCCCAACCCATAATGGCCTGCCCCCCAATCATTAATGGAGAAAATGCCTAATAAGCTTGCCTATAGGCTGATCTGACGGGTATTTTCTCAATTGAGGCTCCCTCTCTCAGATGACTGACTAGCCAGTTCATGGGCTATCCTATCCATGAATGGGGTTAGTGTTAATGCTAAGTATATAAAACATGTATATTAGGGGTATGTGAAGGCATATTATATAAGTTTTGTTCTTATTTCCTATAAGGGACCCTGACTCATCCACAGCTCTTGCTGAATAGGAGGCAGTATTTATTTATTTATTATTATATTCTCCCTAAATGATTGAATTTGATTTAAAAATAGAGAATTCCTATCATGGGTAGCAGCTATAACTTGTGTTTGACTTTACAGGATAAACTGGGGATGGAATGTAACTCAATGGTTGAGGGTTTGCCTGTGATTTGTGAGGTCCTGGGCCTACCCCTCGGTACGCAGAATAACGAAGAATCAACTGAACTGATCATATTTATTATTTTTAGGAGTTTGAGTGAAAAAGGGGGAGGGAAGGCGATTCTCTTGTCTCTTGTCTCTTGTCTACACAGCTGCAGTGAAGGCCTGAAGTCAAAGGTAACAATTGTGAGCACGCAGGTGTGACCTCTGCGCAATTACAGACACTCAGCTATTCAGTTTTATAACACTGTTAAGGAATTATGACTGTCCCTATTTTCCAAAGAATGAATCGGAGCAACTGTTCCATGTCACCTAGCCTCAAGTGGCGGAGGCAGGTTCAGCCCAGCAGTCTGGTTGTCAGTGTGTGGTTCACAGATCTCTGCAGTCCCTGGGTGCCCGCCCTTAGGAGCCCATGGAGTGAAAACAACCTTCATGGTAACACTAGAGACTCCTTTTACTGTGCTGACGGTTACAGTGGGGGCAGGGAATGCCAATGACTTAGCAGCATCAAACCATATTAATAATCTGGCACTCACAGTAAACAAAGCCAGTTTCACTTAAAAATGTCCTTGGACAGAAATCTTATTAACTTTTAATCTTTTTGGTGTTGTTTTGTTTTTTTGTTTTGATTTTTTGAGACAGGGTTTCTCTGTGTAACAGTCAGTCCTGGCTGCCTTGGAACTTGCTCTGTAGTCCAGGCTGGCCTTGAACTCACAGAGATCCACCTGCCTCTGCCTCCAGAGTGCTGGGATTAAAGGCGTGTGTGTGCCACCACTGCCTGGCTTCTTAATCTTTTAAAAAAAGGTTTATTTTATTTTATGTGGATGACCCTTTTTTTTGTTTTTTTGAGACAGGGTTTCTCTGTGTAGTTTGGGTGCCTGTCCTGGATCTCGCTAGACCAGGCTGGCCTCAAACTCAGAGATCCACCTGGCTCTGCCTCCAGAGTGCTGGGATTAAAGGTGTGCGCCACCACTGCCCAGCTGTGGATGACTGTTTTCCCGTGTGTGTGTGTGTGTGTGTGTGTGTGTGTGTACATTAAGTACAGGACGGATGTCAATGGAGGTAGAAGAGGGTGTCAGACCCGGAACTGGAGATACAGATGACTGTGAATCACCATGTGGGTGCTGGGAACCGAACTTGGGTCCTCTGCAGGAGCAGCAAGTGTTCTCTCTTACCCATTGAGCCATCTTTCCAACCCCAACTCTTAATCTTGATTATACACCTTTTTTCAGTTGAGACAGGGTCTCACACAGCCCAGGCTAGCCTTGAACTACGCAGCCAAGGAAGACCTTGAACTATTCTGCTGCTGTCTCCTAAATGCTAGGACTGCAGGCTTGTACCACTACACTCTGCCGAGTATACTTCTTTTTCATGAGTGTGACTAAACAGAAGTGTACCTGTAACGTTTCTACTATATACCAGAGATGGTTGTCTCAAGGAAAAGCATTTCTGCGATTAGATGCCTGTGTAGAATATTTCTACTTCAAAGGACAAATAAATACTCAGACTTAGGGTTTAGTAAACATCTTCTCAAAGATAAATTAAGTGAGTCTGCCAAGGAGAACAGCCCACAGGGTTTGCTGCCATGTTAGAACTCAAGCTCCCCTCCCCCACTTAATTCTTGGGATTGGGGATTGAACCTGGGTTTCACACCAGGAGGCAAGGGCTTAACCACCGAGCCAGATCCCATCCCCAATTTACCCCAGATCCCATCCCCAATTTACCGCTTAAAGCCAAACTGAAGTCACAGAACTTTTACTCTTAAATCAGATGCAGTCATTTTAGAGAGAATATAGTTCTAAAAATCCACCCTTTCGACATATGACATGACGCTGTCATCTACTAACGTGCTGGGCCTTATTCATAGCTAGACTATGCCACATGTGCTCCGACAGGCTACAGGTGACAAGTGATGGCATTTACAGATGTTACTGTCTTGATATTACATAATAAAATGTGTCAATACAGGGAATATCGACATACCTCAGTGAACCACTAGTTTCTAAATACCAGTGAATGATGTAAGTAAAGGATCTATTAACTATGCAGAACAGACTAGTGCAAAACTTTTTATATTAAAATGAAAAGAATTTTAATATAAATTAAATACTAATTTATTTTAAAACTATTATTTTATTCAAATAAATATTTAAGAAACTTATAAATTAATTTATTAATCAACACATTATTAATTAATTATTAGATTAATAAATATATTTCAATAAAAAGAAAATTTTATTATTGGTTTATTTATTAATCTTAAATATTAATAAAATTAAAAGAAATTTAAATATGAAAGTATTTTAATATGAAAGCATTCACTGATGTGACTTTACCTTGCTAGAGCTACAACTAATCTGTAACAATTTACTCTGCATCAAATTTTGATGTAGTAGGATCAGACTATCAAGAGACATCTGAAAATAGTAAAGTACTTTTTTTTAATCCTCCTTTCAGTATGAGGTTGTACGTTCTTCACAGATTTCAATCAAAAGAGGGTACCAAATGCACTGAAGCTGAGCTTGGTGATGGACACCTGTAGTATCTTCACTTGGGAGGTCTTACACACAGGAAGATCATCAGATTTGTAGCAAACATAAAGACAGCCTGAGCTATGTTAGACCCCGTGCCTACCCCAGTGATAAATCATTGAACATGTAAAACCAAACTGAATATGGAGACAGACACAGGGTCTGTCCTCATTTATGCCAACAACCATAAAAGGTTTGCAGAAATAAATTATACCCCTCTTCTTCCTGAATAGTTTTTTTTGAAAAATTGAGTTATTTTCACAAAAGTTTCCTATGTTTTCATATAGTGAATTTAATTCTTTAAACTGACTAAATATTAAACTGATTTCAGTTTTCATTTCTAAGCCTGAGGGTTTGTTTCCACAGTACAGCAGAATGGCGGTGTGGAAAGGCAGCGGGAATTCAGGATGTGGAGAGTTAGTGCTGGTGTGGACCACTGTCAGCGGGCCCTTCCTGAGCTCTGCGGACTCTAGAGCCGGGCCTTAGTATTCGTGACACGAGGCTAAGTCCTTTCGACGGCTCGTGCTCCAGTCCATGCATCCTGGGCCCCTTGTCTTCTACCTGGGGCTCCAAAGTAAGTCCTACGTGATCAGAGTTACTCTGAGGGGTTCCTTGTGAGGAAAGTAGCCGGACCCAAACCACAGCTCTCTGTACTGGCCTGAATCTTGATTGGTAACAACCGAATGCTTCTATTTCAGTGCCAAGAGCCTACCTCTTGATCTTTTGGTTTAACATAGTTGGACGGGAAGATTCCAGTTCTCTCTCCAATACTTCCTGTCCACCACTCTCCATCTTTCTGGGTCACCAGTATTTCTTCCCCTTCACTGAAGGTCAAATCTCCAGGCTCGACACTTGAGTATGGATAAAGTGCAATATATTCTGTAGGGAACAAGGAGAGGCAGATGCTCTAGAGAAGTAAAAAAGAAAATGGGCCAGTCTCTAAGACGTAGAGGTTTATGGTAAAAGACCTTGAGTCTTACAAACTGCCAACAAGGTCTTCAGGTAGAAACAGAGCCAAAGCAATCACTTAATAACTGTCCAGGTGAAGGCTAACAGACGTTACCAAGGACCTTACATTTTTTCAATTGCTGTTACTTTGTTAAAGAAAAGAGATCATTGCTGCCCAGCTGCAGGGACAGTGGGGCTGCGGCAATGGCACCGGAGCAGCAATAGTCAGTCTTTCACTTGGTTTGTTTTGTTGTGTTTGAGAGAGTCTCACTATGTAGCCAGCCTTGGCTGGCTTGGAACTCACCTGACCCTGTTTCCCTAGTGCTGAGATTAAAGGTGTGCATACTTTGTCAATTATCTGTTTGGCAACAAAGAATTATCCTAAACTACAAACAAATAGTATCTCTACAAAAAATGGAACCCAGGCTTAATGGGAGTGCTACTTGGTGCTAATGGAGTCCAAACAATCTTTTAAACACACCCTAATCTGTTCTTTCATGTTCTGTACACAGTTACGGAAACTTCAAACACTGCCACAAGGCTCCAGCTCCTAGGATAGTGCTTGGCTCCAAGCAGACGCTAAGTCCGTCTCTGTTACTGAATGACCTCAGGGACAGGTTTGCAGTTTTAGACTGTCTTTGATTCTTGTTCTTATGGTTACTACTACTTCAAAGAAGAAATCTTTTGACTTTTCTATTTCTATGTATATTTGTCACCACAGAATCTGATCTTTTATCAGAAACACACTCTGAAACCTGCCTGTTCTCACTGCCAGAGTCACTCTGCCTGGCTGATTTACTACAGTGGTTACAAGGTCTAAGACGACCACAGTCGGTAAGAGCGCCCAGGCCCCTGACTGCTCTCCTACACGGTGCTGCCGCAGTGCAGCTATGGCACAGCCTCTCAGGGCCAAGTTCCTAAGTTACCGGCTCATGTCTGACTCATTCTCTTCTTTCTGTGAGAAGCCCTTCCCCATCCTTTGTCACTGTACTGGGATGAAAGGCATGCACTATCACACCTGATTATTTTTATCTATTTGTGGGGGGGGGGGGGCAGTATCTGCAGGGGCCAGGAAGGGCACCAGAGCTGTAGTTACAGGTAGTTGTGAGTAGTCTGATATGGGTGCTGAGAACTGAACTCAGATCCATCATCCCAGCCCCTGTGCTGATTTTCTGCAGCACCGACTAAATATGCTAAGGATTTTCAGCCATGTATTTTCTGTATCTTCAATATTCATATGAAGTAAAGAAAAGCAGGGTTTCTTAATTTCAAAAACATCAAAGAACTAGAAATAGAGAAAAAGAACAACGTGTTCAAATACTAACTAAGCTACCTCCCATTTAAAGCAAACTGCCCAAAGCTTACCTTCTCCAGCTGGATAGGCTGTGGAGGTAGGTTTCTTATTTACAGCCGCATACAAAGCTTCTGGCCTAGCAAATTAAATGGAGAAATAAGACACATGCACACACACAGAGGACAGATGCTCACGAAAGGTGAGCTGAAGACTGCAACAGGGTTAGCAGCATCTGGTGTTCCCTCAACTAACCTACCATCTCTGTGCACACACTAGGGATAGTCTTAGATACAGAATCCTCCTAGACTAACAGCTGTCTAATTATAAACCACCACATTTAAAAATAACTTCAATAGAACACAGCTTTCACCTTTATATGGAACTTTTTTCTTTGTCGAATTGTTTTTTTGTTTTTCGAGACAGGGTTTCTCTGTGTAGCTTTGGAGCCTGTCCTGGAACTTGATTTGTAGATCAGACTGGCCTCGAACTCACAGAGATCTGCCTGCTTCTACCTCCCGATTGCTGGGATTAAAGGCATGTGCCACCACCTCCTTTGCCTTTATATGGAATTTAACAGACATCTGCTTACTAGTAAGTGGACAGTGTTCTGAGAAAGCACATACAGAAACTGGCTTGACTTACAGATAAACAAAGTAAATATATTAATGTTATTAATCTGATTAGTTTATTACATCTTAAAATATAATCTTTAAAAAAAAAATCTTGTGATAGGTAAATAGTAATTTCCACTATTGGAAGAACTATCATGTTCAAGATCTAGATACCTAGGGGATGCAGAGGACCCCCAGGACCTGTACTGAATTACGAAGTGGAACAGAGGGAACGCTACTCAGCCTCACAATAGGAGTGTCTTGCTTAATGCTAATGTCCCCATTAATGCAGGCTTCGCTGGTCCTTTTTCTGTGGCTTGTGTTTTGTTTGTTTTGAGACAAGGTCTTCTATGTTGCCCATGCTGGTTTTTGAACTTGAAAGATCAAGTTCATTCAAGGCAATCCTCCTGCCTCAACTTCAAAGTTGCTGAACCTATAGGCATGTTTACCCACACCCAGCTCTACCGCAGGCTTTTAAGTAACATGACTTATCTCTTAGAAAGGATCAGTAATTGAACAGAAATTTAGGGAGGAAACAGCCTCTAAAACATTTAAACTTAACCTACTTTTTGCTTAAGCTTTCTTCTCTGTAGTATGCTATAGAAATAATACAGTAATTGCTATAAAGGGCCTAGCATGAAGATGCTAGGTATGTACTGTGACCTTTACTACTTCCTCTTTCCAAAATTCCTGGCCAACCTGAGAAGCTAATTTCTACATCTGAACTAAATACTAGTAAGTGCACTTGCAGCACTCAAGAGTCTTACCGTTTGTCTAGTTTAATTCCTTTATCTAATCAGAAATCTGAAGATAAAATATGCTGGAGAACTAGTGGAATTAGGACATAAGCTTGATTCCAAGACCGGGACCCTGCCCTCTTGGACTGCTCCTTTCAGGCCCTTCCCCGTGGGTCACAAGGGACGGTTACCCACAGCTAACAGTGGTGCTCGCTCCCACGTCAGAGCCAGCTGCCAACCTGACGGCCGCACAGACTGAAGAGCTCAGTCAAGCGGGTTTTGGTTTTGTGTATCTGCAATTTCATTCATTTGTTCACTCACTCTCTCCTGTCCTCATTCATTAAGTTTCCTCATTCATTAAGTTACGATGATTCGGCAGCTACTATGTATCAGTCTCAGAGTAGGTATGAAAAAACGGACCAAAGGAGACAGAATAGCTTCATGAGCTTATGACTTCATTAGGAATACAGGTTAAAAAAAAAAAAGAAAAAAAGGCCAATAACTATGAAGACATGTGCTATGAACAACAGAGAGGTTATGTTTAAAGAGCCCTGGAGGTCCAGGCATGGCAATGCTCCAGCTTGAAAGGCCAAGACCTCAGTAAAGAATCCTTTAAATATTGAAAAATTTCAGTAAACAATGCTTCAAATAAAATTAAAAGTAATCTTTTTCTAACTGGTTTTATGGTAAAAAGAAAAAAAAAACCATGAAGAAATGGAGTATTTTGAAAACATCCCAAATTCGAAATGGTTAGAAAGAAAGATACTACAACAGATAGGAACACGTGAAGTGATGTTTTCCATGTTAGGAACCAGCCTCTGGCACTCAAACCCCCACCCCCACCCCCACCCCCCACGTAAATACACAGAGGTGCTTACTCCTCTCGCTTGACTTCACTCCCGGGAAGGATCTTGACATAGGATTTGGGGAACCATCCTCTTCCTCCGTGCACCTCCCCAAACCACCAATTTTCTTGCTGCTCCAGGACAGTAATAACGTCGTGCTTCGAGAAGTTCAAGTGGTTCTCCTTCTTTGCCGTCCAAGAACAAAGGGCCTGAGCTTTCAGGTTTTCTACAGCCTGCCCCTAGGATACAAAGCCACCAAAACTTAAAAACAGATCATGGTAATCATGATTTCTAATTCCTAGAGTATAAGAGAGAGCATATCAATGCATGAACTTAAAATGGCATCCCACACACAGCCCTGGGAGTAGCTTTCTTGAGCATCCCACCATTCAAGGACATGTCATCACAGATACTGATGAAGTGCATACTCATGGAAGTATTTTAAATCCATCAAATGACATTTAAAAAGGAGTTACTGCAATTTTTTTCTCTCCTTCAGCTTCCAATGGCTTCTAGCTGCTGTTGGTAACCCCCCTCCCCAAGGACTAGAGACCTGGTCACACTCAGCATCTCCCCTGCTCCCTTCACAGGTAAGTAAACTCTTCACTCACTCTGTACTCTGCCTTCTCACTTCCCACCAGCAGGAACGCCGAGTCCCTCTCGGCTGACTCGCCTGTTTCCACCTCCCACCTTGCCACAGCAGTAAGTGCACCTGATGCATCAAGCTTTCCCATGGGTTCCAGCGGCACGAATGCAGCCGTGGAGCTGATGCACCAGGTGCTTTACTCACTGCGCCATCAACCTGGCCTCAGTGGAATAAGTGTGAGCTTCTCTCAAAATCTTCCTGCGGTTTTCACTGCCCAACTGTCTAGTACTAAATAACTACTTTACTGAAAAACCCTAACCTCTCTAACTGCTTATCATAAAATGTATTTGTTGGTTAATATTTTAATGACTGAGACAGAGTCTTGCTTATGCAGCTCAGGCTAGCCTTAAATGCTTTATGTAGCCAAGGATGGCTTGAAAATAACAGTCCTTCTAGCTCAGCCTCCTAAGTGCTGGTGGTATACACCACCACCATGCCTGGATCAACCAGACTTCTTCACCCTTTTCTCAAGAGTTGTGTAATCTCACCACACCATACACAAGCCCATTTCTTCCAACACCTCTAACTATGTGCCTCAGTGACCTCCTCACACTGCTCTTCCACTAGAGAAACTTCTAGGTCTGGTGAAGGCTTGCTTCTGTCTGAGGGTCCAACTCAAATATTTTCCCTTCAGGAAGCATGCTCTAATTCTCACAGATTGGCTGAAATGTTCTCTCTTCTCTAAGCTCTCAGAACTTTGCAGATGTATTTATTACAACATTTCTCACACTTCACAGTTACATGTATGCATGGTTTCTTTATTAGGTTATACACTATTTAATGGCAGAGTTTTTGTTAACATATGTTTGAATTTTTAGCACATAATAAAATGCTGGCAATTATAACCATGTGCTAAGGATTTCTAAGTGAAGACTGCATTTCAGGCTTTACTGTGATGAAGTCTGCCGTCTCTTTTTAGTAATATTAATGTAGTATCCAAGTACATATACCAAAGTCTCAAGGTTCCCAGACAAGAAAAAACAATGCCCCTCCCCAGCACAATCCTTATGGGACTGAACTGTTGAGCAAATACTTAAACTGTAACTGAATGCTACAGGCTCTGCTTACATGAAGGAAAGATGGGTGCCTCTGTAGGGAATCCAAAGCAAAGTCAAGAAGACAGCACCCAGAACTACAGGTAACTTACCTGTCCATGGATGGGGGACACGGATCCAGGGGACACAGTGCGAGTAAAAGCTGACTTTTGTTGCCATGATGTGTTAACAGTAAGGTTTGAGAAAGATACATTTTGATAATCAGTCACTGATGCTGGTTGATTTGAACAAAGTGGTCTGCAAATGTAAAACTTTAAATAAGTATACATAGTTGTTTAGAACCTAATGGAGTACTGTCAGCCTACCCACATGCCTAGTATACACAGGCTTTAAACAGGTCTTGTAGACAAAATGAACTTAGGCACTAGGAGGTCATTCATTTACTAAATTTCAGTATTAAAATGGGAACAAAAGGCATTGTTGGAAGAGCCAGCCCAGATGAAAACTGTGATCAAGAATCAGGCTGAGCCGGGCGGTGGTGGCGCACGCCTTTAATCCCAGCACTCGGGAGGCAGAGGCCGGCGGATCTCTGTGAGTTCGAGGCCAGCCTGGGCTACCAAGTGAGTCCCAGGAAAGGCGCAAAGCTACACAGAGAAACCCTGTCTCGAAAAACCAAAAAAAAAAAAAAAAAAAAAAAAAGAATCAGGCTGACACAGCTATGCATTAGTAGTCACACACTGGCGAGCTAGAGGAATTCCACTGTTAGCTCACAACTCACTGGGAGGAAGTTGAGGTAGCAGAGAGAGATACTGTAGGAGGAAGTAAGGCCTTCTTAGGAGATGGAGCTTTTTCACTGGACGGCATTTTTTCTACATAGTTGCATGGAAACCAGCCAAACTTTCCCTGAAAGCTGCCATAAAGCCAACCAGGCTCTCCTACAGTCTTTTCATCAACCTATGGAAGAAAAAAAAAGTACAGTGCTTATTCTCAGATTCAGAATTAAGCCCATCTGAAATAAAAAAGGTACTTCCTGTAAATTATTACATTACTATTTCTTGACATAGACAAATTATCTTTTAAAATAATATCAAAATTAATGCATGAGGCCAGGTGTGATTGCGCACACCTTTAATCCCAACATTCAAGAGGCAGAAGCAGATGGATCTCTGTGAGTTTGAGGCCAGCCTGGTCTACATAGCAAGTTCCAGGCCAGTCAAGACTTATATAGTGAAACACAGTCTCAAAACAACAACAACAAAATAACACAAAGTTAATACATGAAAATAAGTTACAACAAAAGCAGAATTATATAGCGTTTACAATGGAAAAAAATTCTTCCCCTACTACATATATATGTATTTTTTAAAATAGAACTCACAAAGCCCTGGTTGGCCTTAAACTTGCAGCATTCTCCTGTCCTGGACTCCCATGTGCTGGGGTCACAGTTCTGAGCCACGAGGTCTAGCTGCCAGTACTATTTACAACACTGCTTCTTGGGTTTGTTTTCAGTCTTTAGACATTATCTATTGGGTTTTGGTTACAAAAAAATAAAGATTCACCTCTCTTTCACTATACTTTCTTACTCTATCTGTATTGTTATATAATTTTTATTTAAGTATAATTAACATTTATGTGACATCTATGACAATCTCTCACATCTGACTTATATACTTCCTTTCTTGTAAACTTTCAATATCACTGAACTGGAAAATCCTCTGGGTACGGTTTTCTTTTCTTTTTTAAAATTCATTTATTATGTATACAGCAGGTATGACCAGAAGAGGGCACCAGATCCCATTACAGATGGTTGTCAGCCACCATATGGTTGCTGGGAATTGAACTCAGGACCTCTGGAAGAGCAGTCAGTGCTCTTAACCTCTAAGCCATCTCTCCAGCCCCGCCCCCCCCTTTTAATGAATTGTTTTATTCGAACATTTTGAAGTCTTAGGGACAGCCAGTACCCTCCTCACCACAATGCTCTACTCTCCCTCCACCCGGGGTCCGGTTTTCTAAGTGGTAAAACCAGTTTCTTTTTTCCCTTTGGTACCGGAGCCTCCATCTCACCATGCCTCCCGCCCTTCTTCCTGGTTACTACCTTACACACAGCGGGAGCCTCCACGTTTGCTCTTGGTCTCCTTGCCTCACGCTCTGCACTGCCTGCACAGGCCCACCTGCTCCTAGAGCTTGGCCAGTGCCCTCACAGAACAGCCCTCAAGCTCTCCTCTCAGGAGGGACTTCTTTTCCAAAGGTACAATCCTACACTTTAACTCCTAGCACAAGCTCTTCAACTAGACATCCACTGGGAACACCCAACTGGAGTCTAAGATTGAGGCCCTCTGCCTGGCCCTAGGCCTATGCTCTCCAGCTTGCTATTGTTCTTTTTTTAATGGTGGAAAGAAGTGTATATTTAGAATTAGCCGGCGAGACTCAGTTCAGATGACCCCAATGTTGTTGACATATCCAGAGCACCATAATGAGGAGCCAGCTGAACACAGGCCTTCTCTCCATCAAGCCTTAGGAGGGTGTTGACTTTGGCCACATCAATGTCATAGTTTCTTCACGGTCTGTTTGATCTGGTGCTTGTTGGCCTTGACATCCACAGTGAACACAAGTGTATTGCCTTGCCTTCTTCATGGCTGACTCAGTGGTCAGGGGGAATCTGGTGATGGCACAGTGGCCAAGCTTGTTTCTCCTGGGTGCACTCTTTTGAGGATATTTCAGCTGCCTCCAGAGCGGCAGGGTCCTGGGTCCTGGAAAGTGTGTGACATGTGGATTTTCTTGTTTGTGCCGTGGATGCCTTTCAGCACGGCCTTCTTGGCTTTCAAGGCCTTCACTCTGACTTGGGCAGGGGCTTCCTTCTCGGCCTTCGGCACTGTCTTCAGTTGCTATTGTTCTTATCACTAAAGACTTAAACCCCTAAACAAAAGTCTGTGGCTCTTATCTCCACAATGCGTTGATAGCCAAACTGTTGACTTGGTCACTGAACAGTTCTTATTCTTTTATAAGGTATCCATCACCCCCATCCTCCATTAGCAAACAGCAGCCTTTTTTTGTATAACATCCATCATTATAATCTTTACTCCCAGTCAGATTGAATTAAACTGCTCCCATAGAAATTGTCAGAGTCAACATGACCACACTGTACTATTTCTGTAGACATTTCCCTGGTACTGCCATCATCAGCATCACTGTATTACTCGTATCTCTTCTAGCTGTCTGAGTCTTCATCAGCTCCAGCTAGCACGACACACTTCTTACTTCAAGCAATAAATGACTATGCCAAGCGTCTCACAGCTTTATTTTCTAAACCTTTCTACCACATGCTTTTCAGCTGACACTGTTACATTCGTCAAAGCACACAGGATCCCTTAGAATTCTAAAGTTAACATACAAAACAGTGGGTTTAAGCATGGATTGCCATGCAATGTCATCCACTACATTCTATTCATTTCCATCCCCCTGGGTTCTGTCTACTTCTACTGGTTCCTTCCTTACCTCAACAATTTTTAAAAACTGCTTCTTGAGATGTAATTAACATAAATTTCATATCAAAAGTGTTAATGTAATGTTTTGGCATATTTATATGCCTTTCAAGATAATAAGGTATCCATCACCCCCAGCTCTCCTTCCTGCCCTTCAGACCTCCTGAGAAATACTGGCCTGTTTTACATTACTATACATAGTCTGCATTTTCTATGAATAAAATTGTGCATTATTTTTGTTATTTTGTTTGCCTTCTTACATGTACATATTCCATCCACGTTGGAATATGAGTGCTATTCCTCTTTATTGGTAGTTATTTGCACATATCATAATTTGTTCATGCTTTCCTACTGATGGACATCTGAATTGTTTCAAGTGTTTAGCTATTATAAAGAAGGATGCTGTGGACATCTGTGTTCACATGGATGTGCATTTTCTAGTTTCTGAGGTAGATCCTTAAGAGTAGAATGACCAGGTCATAGTAGATGTATATTTCACTTTTTTATTTTAATAATGGCTTATTGAGTATTATTGAGTATATATCTTGATATCACTCAGAGACTAAAATCCGAGTTGGTGACTTTTAAAGCCTGTTCTTTTCCAATATGTCATATTACCTTTATCAACACGATTCTCTATGTATTTTTTTATTTATCTATCTCACATGGGTTATAATAATACAACAAAGACCATTTGTTCCAAGGAACAAATGGCCCAAATTCAGTCAAGATTGCAGAACTTAACTTTACCTCTTTTAACAGTTGCTAGAAAATAATCAGTCTCTTAAAATTCTACCGTTCAATTATTAAAACACTGCAAGTGGTGTGTCCTTCATGATGTGAACTGGTAAGACACAGTGGAAAGAACACTGGACTCAGAACCAAAAGACATACTTTCATTCTGCTCTGTTACGGCAACACTGACAGTTATAATTTGTCTCAGAGCAAGTTTTTCCTTTTTGGTAGTAATAACTACCCTGTAAGGCTCCGAGAGATGCTGCAAGGGCTAATGTTTAAAAAATATTTTTAGAAGTATGTAAAAACTAAAGAAAACAGCACAATGCATTGCAATTAGCTTACTCATGAACAGAGAAGGCTTCATTTCTTACCTGAATTATATCCCCGGAATTAAAACTCATCTCATCATGGTTCCGTGCTTCAAAGGGGTACAATGCTCTGTAATTCACCAAAGCACTGGCTGTCCCACCTGAAGAAAAGATAATCCCATCATTTGCCACTTTTGAGTAGACACATCTTTACTACGACTCAACAAAGAGCTCTTAAAATCTACACTAAAAAAACGAGCACCGAACAGTGCAATGAAAATCTGCTTGCCTTAGACTTGTTAGGGTTTAACTACCTTGACTAGGTGAGAGTCGAAATAAAGCAAAGAAGAATGTTCATCCTAAGTGAGGTAGGAGGCAGCTAAACAAAGTGATGCCTCAGAGGCTGAGACAGGCACACAGACCTAGGGGAAGGTGTGAGAGTCGGGCGGATCAAGCTGTGGACAGTGGCAGGCATCTACTCAGGGGCAAGACACGATCAGATGGGTGGAGATGACTGTGGCAGAGATGGAATGGCCACAAGAGAAGCACAAACGAGACTAGCGGGCAAACAGGAGGTGAAGGGACATCCACAGACTCACTAGTTCGTTCTAAAGGGGAAACAGAAGGACTCACAAAGGGAAAATACATCGGGCTTGACAAGTTTAAACACACTTCGTTAAAAATGTGAGCACACTGTATCACTATCAGGAATGTTGAAGCTTACTCATCTAAAAGTAGACATACTTCTGGAGGAGGACAGGAATGGACTCCGAGCTGTTTAAGGAAGTATGCCTTCTGAGAAAAGTTCAATGTAAAAAGACTTAAAATTTTACTGTTGTTTCACTCAAATACGTGGCTAAACTATACTGGTTAACTAAAGTAAATATTTAAGATTATGTCAATTCTACAAACTGTAGCAGCTATAACTTTATGTTATCAATGAAATGACCCTTTGTCCTGTTGAGGTTTCTCCTCAGTCAGTGTGCGCATGTCCGTGCACTTTCACCCACACCTGACCGACAGGCTCTGACTGCAGATGAGCGTCTGTCTGTCTGTCTGCTGTCACTGCTGTCCCGAGCACATCTACCCTTACCCTCACTTGGTTTTGCCTCAGCTTTTCGCTCCTCTTCTTGAGCTTTCTCCTGAGATTTTTCTTCCTGAAGTCGCTTTTGTTTTTCTTCTTCTTCCTTTCGAATACTTTCTCTCCACAAGTTCTCTTTTCCTTGCTTTGCTTTCCTTTAAATAAGAGAAATGAAGACTTTACATAACGTCCAAATATGTGGTATACCAAAACCGAACCAAACCAACACGCATGCTGGAAGATCTGCTTCCCACTGGCTGGAGAACTAGCAAGATGGACTAGAGGGACTGAAAAGGGGGGCTGAGGGGGGAAAGGGGGCTGAGGAAGGGGAAAGGGGGGCTGAGGGGGAAAGGGGACTGGGGGGGAAAAGGGGGGCTGAGGGGGAAAAGGGGGCTGGGGGGAAAGGGGGGCTGAGGGGGGGAAAGGGGGACTGAGGGGGAAAAGGGGGGCTGAGGGGGGGAAAGGGGGACTGAGGAGGGAAAGGGGGGCTGAGGAGGGAAAGGGGGACTGAGGGGGGAAAGGGGGGTTGAGGGGGGAAAGGGGACTGGGGGGGAAAGGGGACTGGGGGGGAAAGGGGGCTGAGGGGGGAGGGGGGCTGAGGGGGGAGGGGGGCTGAGGGGGGAAAGCAGGGCTGAGGGCTGAAGGGGAATAGCCAGAGAAACCTCCAACTAAGGTGAGCTGGGGAGTACAACTGACAGCTCTCCAGGCCTCAAAGTCCCTCCACACCCAAGACAAAGGTAGAAAGGGATCCATTCAGCAAATCGAAAACTTTTTCCTGCCTGGACTCTTCACAAGGACTCCTGTGGCCTTAGCATTATCAAGAGCAGCAGAGACTCCGGCCAGATAGATCCCTGCACCTAGCTTTCTTTCAGCGTTTTTCAAACCCTTCAGCCTCCATCCTATCACGTCACACCTCCTTTAGAAGCTCTGCACAACTTGGGTGAAATCTGGGTATTGGGATAATGAACCAGGAGCATGAGGTAAAGGCATCTTAAGAGCCTTCCACTTTTTTAATTACCCAGAATTTCCAAATTTCTTCAGCAATTAAAGCTGAAATAAGCCAAATAATAAGTCTCAAAATAAGCTATGGTTGCCATTTTGATTGACGTATAATGTTGTAGAATCCCAGAGATCTATCCGGCCACAATCTCTGCTACTCTGAAAGAGCTGAGGCTTAGGGAAGATACTAAACATAGCAGTGGCAACTCTTTCTCTGAATGAGGACATAAAAACAGATGTGAGAGAGCCAGATAATATATATTCCTTCTGATACTCCACTGTAATATGTCATAGAAACACGCCAGAAGTGGAGGGAAAATGCTGGCGTCTGAGTGTAGAGACTTTCTGAGGTGGTAATACAAAAAGTAAATCATCTTTCTAGACGCATTCTCTCCTATTCACAGCTGTGAATTAATGCCATAGACAGGAACTAGATGGGACCAAGCCAGGGATGACCTATTGACCTTGATTTGATTACCACAGCATCATAACTCCAGAAAATTCATTAAATTCTGGTAAATCTTCTTAGGCAAGCTAGTGAGTTAAAAACTAGTCCAGAGCCAGGTGATACCTCTTCTACCCTGTGAAAATCTATTACCGAAGACCACACCTAGACAAAAGGACAAGAAACCAAGCTACCGTACTAACACGAAGCTCTGGACTGCTAAGATCTACATTCCTGTGTTCTCTTTAACTTCTTCAGTTTACCACAGCAGGACAATACACAAAGATGAACTAGATGAAAATGTCTTACTAATAAGAACTGTAAGCCAGAAAGGAACTGCGAGACGACCGTTATCAAGGGCTGCATGTGTCAACAGAAAGGCCATCCAATGACTGTGTGACTACTGCACAGATCCCTTGTGGATGTTAAGTGGCACAAGGTAAGTGTCAAATGAAGAACTTCACTGTCCTATTATTCTTTTTAAAAAATGCATATATTTATGTGCTCATGCCTATATGTATACGCCTGTATGCATGTGTGCTCACACATTTATGTGCACAGGTGCTCATGCTTGTGTGTGTGTGCTCATGCTTGTGTATGTGTGCTCATGCACGTGTGTGCTCAGGTGCTCATGCCTGTATGTGTGCATGTAGGAGCCAGACGACAACTTTAGGTATCATTCTCAAAAACCCTGGCCACCTCTTTTAATCCAGTGCCTTTCACTGGCCTGGAATTCCCTCATTAGGCTAGACTGGCTGGCCAGTGAGTTGGAACTTCATGCCCTCACCATATTTTCACATGGGTTCTGGGGATCACACTTAGGTTATCATACTTGCAAGGCAAGCCCTTTACTGACTGAGGCCCTTCCTTCCGTATTATTCTGCTGTCTCTGGCTAGGAGACCGTGGATACAGGGCACTTGGAATAAATGATAGTAAAGCTGGGTTTAACTATCTGAACCCACGACTGGATATATGAGGAATTCAGGAGGAGGAGGAACCCTGCGTGGATCTGCACTGCATCCAGAAGCTGTCACTCCACTCCATGTACTGGCACTGGTCACTTTGGAGCCACCAGGGAAGGGGCTCAGTAGGGGATGGGCTTCTTCCCTCCCAGCGTCTGCTGGCTCTTCCTCAGCGTAGCCTGTCTGCTCTTTACTAGAGCAGAGAAAGACTGGCTCATTAGTATCTGTTCACCAATTATACTCATTTCCGACATGACAGAACTTGGGAGAAACAAAGGATTTTACTGACAAAAGCCAAGAAACAAAAGCCAAACAAGCCACACATGGTTTCTAGGGGAAAGGCCGGTGCTTCAGATGCGTGCCCCTCCCCCACGGGGACGGCTGGTTAGTGCATCTCAATGGCATAAAGGCAACTACAGCAGCAGCACGTGATAGTCTTTTCAGAGAGTAAAATCACTTCATGCTTTTAAAATGATGTTTCAGGGAACACACAGATGTACTAGAGAGACAGAGAACTAATGAGAGTTTATTATGTGCAATGTGCAAGATATATGCAATTCCAGCTGCATTATTTATTTAATGCCTACAATTATCTATGAGGTAAACACTGTTTTTTGCAAAAGGAGAAACTGAGGTTTAGAAAGATAAATGGTCTTATTAACCAGGGTCCCTCAGAGAGTAAATGAAAGATCAAGAATCCAATCCAGGTCTGACTCCTATGTCCTTAGCTTTCACAAACAGGCCATAAAAATTGGTTAATGAAAACTCAATACCTAAAAGGGGAATTGAATTTATAAAATTTAGAATCTGATTAGTATCTAGAAATAATCCTTTAATTCCCCTTAAATTTTCATAAACAAAAGCAATGTGCAACAAAGCTAGAATTTTTTTTCTTTTTTAAAGGCAGGGTTTCTCTGTGTAGCCCTGGCTGTCCTGGAACTCACTCTGTAGACCAGGCTGGCCTTGAACTCACAGAGAGCCGCCTGCTTCCTGAGTGCCGGGACTAAAGGCCTGCGCCACCATGGCCTGGCAGAATTTTAACAGTAACACAGTACAACACATTCAGCAGTTGTATTAATTACCTTGCAGCCTCATCTTCTAGTTTCTTTTTCTGTATTTGCTCTAATCTTTTTCTTTCAATTTCCTTCAATTTGTCACGTTTGATTTTATGAAGTTGTTCGAGGGCTAACTGCTGTGTATTATAGCTTTCTCTCAGTTCCTAAGGATAAAATATAAATAAATCAATACTTAACTATTTTAATCATATTTAATAATGTAGCATCTGCATTAAAAATTCTAAGACACATACATATAATTAAATTTAAAAGATCTGAAGGTTTAAAAATATCTACTTAAATGATATAAAAATTTTAATACAGTAAGTACTTCATGCACCTACTAAGACAAACACATGCTATATTCACCTATTTCCACATCAGTTCATCTATAAAGGACAAAGAATATTTAATAAACCAATTATTCGAAGGGCTATTTTCAACAGAAAATGAAATTAATTTAAATATGGAAAACAATTTGCTTGTAATAACATTTAAAAAATTCTGTAAAATGTGTATGTGTGTATGTGTGTGTGTGTGTGTGTGTGTGTGTGTGTGTGTGTACATAGGCCAGAGGTCGAGGTCAAAGGTCAACCTTGAGTGTCATTCCTCAGGTACCAAACTCTTTGTGTTTTGAGACAGACTCTCTCTCACTGGCCTGAAACTTGCCTAATACTGTGGGCTGGCTGGCCTCAGGGATCTGTCTGTGTCCACCTTCCCAGTGCTAGGTTCACAAGCATACACAATGAACTTTTTATGTGTGGTTTTGGCAGGTCTCGGTGTTCCTTGTATTTCCATTGAGAAGCAATCATTTACTCTTGGTCTAAATGATCACTGCACTGCATTTCCCTGCTCAGAATGACTACTCAAAGGACATGAATATGATCCAAGCTGGGTCAGAATCTTTTCTGGGGATATAGATACCTTGACGAGGTGTTATAAAGAGAAACTCTCTGGCTCATTAAACTTAGATGAACTCAATCTGGCTCCTTTAGTACCAGGTGAGACCAGGAGTGACATAGAACAGAGAGGTAAAGATTAGAGGCAGAGGTAGGGCAGGGACTAGGGGAGCTGATCTTCACCTCCACTGCTCAACATTGTAGGGACCACTGTGCTGTCCACCCATTCAACCTGGGTTCTTGAATTGGCTTTCTTTCTCTTGGAATCTACAGTAAACAAGAGTGTGGGGGAAAAGGCTGAAGGAAAGAGAAAACTAACACTAACCAACCAAACAACAAAAAACCAAAACTAAACAGAGGAAGAGAAGGGAAAAACCTAAAATAATCACAAGAAATGTAAGGACAAAGGAAGGAGCTAGACAATATTTAAATACATTTTAGTTTCAGCGTATGGTGTCCCCTCACCCTCCTAGTCAGCAGAGCAGCTACCTCTGTGAAGGGCTGGGGGAGACGAGCCAACCTATGTATTTTCAGAAACAAGCTATGTCAGAGGTAAACTGACTGTCCTGGAGGTCTGGCCTAAGGGTACTGTGGTGACTGAGATTGTTAGAACAGGTTAAGTCTCTTCCATGGTTTGATTTCTTATTTTTGCCTCTAAGTTCTATTGAAGAGCAAAGACCACGTGAGTACAAGAAGCAGCAGGCTGATTTAGGTTAAGAAGCATGCCTCTAAGAGAGTTCATCAAAGTTTGAGTAAAGTTCTGTCAATAATGACTCGCATTATCTCAGGAAAGTTTTACCATTTCCTGGTATGTCTCACAGAACTGCTGGGAGGGTAAAATGAGTTAATCCAGGCAAAGTGCTTATAGCATTGCAAGCTACATAGTTAGACTCCCAATAAATATCAGCTATTGGTGGCAGGAGCCAGGACTAAGGAGAATACTACATTTTGAGAATGTGAAGAGCAATCAAATTAATGTCCAATTTTAGCCTGTGTAACATTAGCCCTCCAATTTATCCTTTAAGATTGAGCTGCAGTAACTTTCCAAGGAGGTTTTATTTCAAGCCTGGAGTCCTTGAAATGGGCCTTCTTCCAATGGCTGACTCAGGACAAAAAGTCTACTAACTGGGACCTCTCCCAGCAAAAGCTGAGTAATTCTTGCAGTTTCAAGTTCTGTCAAGAACTAGAAGTTGAATATGATATAAAAACTACTCATTTACAAGTACAGGAACACTGTCAAAGAACCAGAGATGTCAGGAGCCCGGAGGGAGGAAGCCTGAGAGAGGTGAAGGACACCACCCACCGGACCCCAGCGCTTTCTCCTTCCAGGCACTCACCCATCTGAGAAGCTGAGAGAAAGCAGGCTATGGAGTTAAGCAGAGCAGCTACCTCTGTGAAGGACTGGGGGAGACGAGCTGGAATTCCTTCTGAAGAGGACACATTTTGAATGTCTATCATGGGCACCTCAGGATTAGGGAGTAAGTAAGGGGCTCATGGTTCTGGAGAGCCATCATGGTATGGAGCATGAAGTAGGCAAGCTTGTGCAGTAGCTGAGAACATACATCTGCCCCACAAGTGTGGGGCAGAGAGAGAGCTAACTGGGAATGATCTAGGCTTCTGGAATGTCAAAGCCCACCCCCCAGTGACACACCTCCTCCAACATGGCCATACCTCCTAATGCTTTCCAAACAGATCTACCAACTGATGACCAAGTAAGTATTCAAATCTAGGAGCCTGTGAGGGCCATTCTCATTCAAACCACTACAGAAGCACACCAGTCTCACCTTGAACAGCTCAGTCAGTAACTGACTGAAGGTGATTTATCCCATTTGTTTGCCAGAAGCAAAAGAAAATTGCCTCTGGAAAGAAGATGACTTCATTTACCAAATTACAAGTGAATATCCAAATTATTTCTGTGATTTTTTTCATATAAAAAGCTTGGATTTTAGAATTCAACAACAACAACAAAATTCTGAAGAATACCAGAAGTCAGTGCCATGCATTCAGAAATCAGGAAAAGGGCTGGAGAGACAGCTCAGCAGTTAAGGCTGCTCTTCCAGAAGACTTGGGTTTGATCCCCAGCACCAACACTGTAGCTCACAACAATCTGTAATTCCAATCTCAGAGGATCTGACACCTGCTTCTGGCCTTTGCAGGCACTGGGCATGCACATGGTATACAGACATACAAGCAGGCAATTAATATAAATCAAGTCTGCAAATTGTAATCTCCAGGATACCTACTACCAGAAAAGTAAAAGACGGCATAGCTAGGTTAGAGAGAAGGAAGGAAGAAGGAAGGAAGTTCCTATCCCTCCCTGAAAGGCCTAGATCTTGCAGTCCTCCTGCCTTACCCTGTTACAGATTGCTCGGGAGGGTGGATGTAGCCACTGTTAAGCTGCCATAGCTTAAGTAAATAACTCCCTAACCATGCTCAGGCAGAATCCTAACTAAATGAAGTAAATTTCCAAAAAATGAAGGAGGAGGACTTTTTAGGAAGGAGAGGGTATTAAGTGGGAGGGACTGTGCTCAAATTATATTAAATATGTGAATGAAGCTGTGAAGGAAGAAGGAGGGAGGGAGAGCAGGAAGGGGGAGGGAGGGAAGGAAGGGAATAAAAGTATATGTACTAAAAAAGGGCAAGGTGAGAAAGAGAAATACAAAATAAGTGAGGCAAAATAAATAACAGATGAAAAACAATGACAGTTCACAGTCCAAATTTGTCAATAAGTATATTAAACAGACCGACTACTCCATTCAAATATAAACTGTACCAAGTGAGCAATCTCCCCAGTTCCCCCACTCCATTTTTCTTTCTTTTTTTCCGAGACAGGCTCTTACCATGTAGAGACTGTATTCAAACTGGACTCAAAGGCACCTGTGTGCCAGGGTGGCCTAGATCTTGTAGTCCTCCTGCCTTAGCCTCCCAGTGCTGGGATTGGAGGAAAAGAACTAGTCCTAAAGCAAGAAGCCTCCCTAGAGGAACCCAGCATGATAAATGGACCCACCACATAAACTACAATGGTTTTCAATCTACTCACACTAGAACAGAACAAAAGGCAACACAATCAAAGGGACCAATGCATAATCCCAGTGGGGAATCTAATCATTGCAGTCTCTGTAACTCAGGCAAGGAGGTCAGCACACCAGACCACTCTGCCTTCCCTGGAGGGCAAGAGCTTGTAATCTGAGAGCCAGCGCATTTCTAAGGTTTTAAAATTATTTTTAGTAGACTTCAGAAGTCCATGAACATGGCTAGGGACAAAATTAATTTTTATTTTTACTAGCTTCTATCTGAAATCCAACATTTCCATCAATGTCAGATGCAAGCAATAAACCACCATGATATTACTCACATTTATGACATTTTCACCAACAGAAACTGAAGATATTCTTATAATTATAGGTTACGTGCTATTATGACTTAAAAATGGTGTATCTGTCACTAGATCTTATTTAATTCATAAGCATAGAATCATATATACTTGAACTTATATTTGGTAACATTTAAATATATATATATTATATATAAAATAAAACATACATATGTATGTTTATATTTAGCAGTGTTGGGGATCCAAGGCTAAACACATGCTAGGCAGGTGCTCTGGCACTGAGTCACACCCTCGGTCCCTCATTTAAAACACTGTGAATGGATGTAGAAAGGAGTCCACAGCATAAACATATTTAAGACGCTTTGCTTCAGAAACCAAAGTTCCCTCCCCATGCCCTGCTGCAGTTCTTCAGGTCCACACTTCCTGTTATTGTAACCCACCTTGAAGAGACATGTTCCAAAGGTACACCTGACACACAAATCACCCCTTGACACCTGGAGGGTACAACTAACAACTCTGGTGTTGGCGGATTCTACTTTTCCTCTATAGAAGAGCACTTCCTCACTTACTCTCCTGAGTCAATAGCAGTAGCTTTCATCGCAGTAGGTATTTTAGAGACTCTGTGCAACTCTTCCCTAATAAGAACCACCCAAGTATCTGTATAGCACATGAGGGCTCAGCCTGTATCTGTCTGTCTGTGTGTGTGCATACTATTTCACTGTCAGCTACTGATCCCCTGGTCACTGATTCTCATTTATTCCTGTCTGACCTCTGCACTGATGATCCAATAAAAACTTAACTCTGAGATCAGACCTTTTAAACGCTTCTTAATGGACCATTCCTGCTATTACGCCTTGGGCTCCACTATGAACTGTTACTGGTCAAAAATCCTATACTTCACACACGCTCTCAAGCCTCGGAGCCTTTCTTAAACCTGGTATAGCCACCTCAAGGGGTCCTCAGCTTCTCCGAGACCCCTACTCTCTTGGCTTTCTCATTCTTTCTTAATCAGCCCCTCCTCCTCTAGGATCCATTCATATCCAGTTCCTATTTCAGAGTTCATCTTTATCCTAATTCTTGTGTTAAGATCTGTAACTCCCCGTCCCTTCCACCTTGGCCACCGTCTCCGAAGACCTCAAGTCTGTAAGCAGCAGCCATGAACCTGTTAACCTGTTTCACCTGCTGTCTCTGTGCTTGTATCTAAGCAGCTGTGCATAAGCAGAGGAAAGTCATATAATTAGGCCTGGAGTCTTCAACTGAAACTCATTACCTGGAATGAAATAGGCATTTAATGCTGCTCAACACATTGTTTTCGTCTCTCAAGCTTGTACTCACCTGCCCCCAACAACCAAGGCATCTAGTTTAGGGAATTTCCTAATCCCCCTGTCCATCATCTTTCCTAAAAACCTCACCTAGAACCCATCAGACTAGAACTCCTTTTCTTCCCATCTCAAAATTAGTAAAACTTCTTGCGTCTGTCTTTTTTTTTTTTTTTTTTTTTTTAAACCTGGAGTGGTTATCCCATGCTCTCACGTACCCAGGGAGAGTCTTTGTAATGATTCAATACATTCCAAGTCTTGAAGCTTCTAACTTCCTGCTTTCTACAACCAAATGTAACTGCACTGATCTTTTTTTTTTTTTTTCTTTTTCTTTTTGGTTTATCAAGACAGGGTTTCTCTGTGTAACATTCCTGGCTGGCTGGAACTTGCTCAGTAGAGTAGGTTTGAACTGCACTGATCTTTACCCATCTGTTACTGGAAGAATTCTTTCTTCAACAATTACATTTATTTACTTATTTATGTGATTTGTGTGTATACAAATGTATATAGATGCCACGGTGTATATGTGGACGTCCAAGAATGTCCTGTTGGAACCAGTCCCTCCTCCACCACACAGGTCCTAGGGGTTGAATTTAGATCATCAGGTATGGTAGCGAGTGCCTTCTCCTGCTGATCTATCCCTCCAGCCTGTGGAAGGCTTTTTGTTTTGTTTTGGTTTTGGTTTTTCGAGACAGGCTTTCTCTGTGTAGTTTTGGTGCCTGTCCTGGATCTTGCCCTGTAGCCCAGGCTGGCCTCGAACTCCCAGAGATACACCTGGCTCTGCCTCCCAAGTGCTGGGATTAAAGGCGTGTGCCACCGTTGCCCGGCTCTTCTTTTTAAAGAAATCCTTTAATCTATGCTCTGGATTTTTTCTTTTTCCTTTTCTTTTCTTTCTTCCTTTTTTTGGGGGTATGAATGTGTGTGTTCATGTGTATGTTGTGTGTGTTCGTGTGTGTATGTGTGTGTGTGTGCCAGAGTTCAACACCATATGCCTTCCTCAATTGTTTTCTGCCTTATTTTTAATAATATTTTTATTTATACATACAATGTATTGTGAGTATTCATCTCACTCCCCCAACTCTTCCCCCACCTCCCTACCCACTGAGCTTCATATTCTCTTTCTCTTTTAAAAACAAAACAAACAAACAAACAAAACTATGGAGTCCAGTTTGTGTTGGCTGATGACTCCTGGGGCATGGGCCTGCCCTGGTCTCTGGAGTATGGCTGATATAGCCGTCACCTTGTTTTTTGAGACAGGGTCTCTCACCGCCTAGTCTCCCTAGCACTGGCATTACAGGTGGGTGTGCCACATGTGGCTTTTTTACATAGGCCCTTTTCATGGCAAACACGTAACCCATTTCCTTAGCCCCTGGATCTTTTTCTTAATCTACTTCTTCAGGGACTGGGCTCTACCAATCATCATACTCATCTCTACACACCGCCATCTCCCCCCCTCACCCCCTCTCTGCTGTCTCCTTCAGCCTCATGCTTTCTAACTCTCTCCAGAGTTGCTCATACGCATTTAACAGTCTTCATCCCCATCCACTGCTGATCCACAGCATCCAGCTTCTGCTTACTGCTCAGCTGAAACGGTGCTTTCTGTGCAGTTCAGAGGGAGTCAATGGAAGTCCTCAGCACTGTGCTGTGATCCCTCTGGATCATCTTACAGTGACGACTACAAAGGCTTCTTTTCTTGCTTTCTGTAGCTACACTCAAGTTTCCTATCCACTGACTTACAGACTTCACAGTCCTGTAGCGTCCTCTGATGAAAGTGTCAATAAGCAGTGAAAACCCAGAAGGCAGGAAGCAGAGGGAAGAAAGTAAAGCAAGACAGAATCATGTGCCGGCCTGTAGAGCTCCAATGCTAAAGGGAAGATCAGACAGTATCTATGAATGAGTACGGCCCACCAATCTGCACTGATCTTCATTCACAATGAAGAAACTCACACTTCATTTTCACATGATCTGTAGCAAAGTTCTGAGACCAGACACCCGGTCAGTCATGTTCTAATCCTACAGATCAGTCAACACCTGGGGCCCTGTTACTGCTGCTTCTCCACTCTGCCCTGCCTTTTCCAAAGGAGAGCTGAGGTGTAATTACTGTGGGACGTATACGGAGCAGTCTATTGCCACACATTTTAGCACTGAGGAGGAAGTGTAATAAGAATCTACAAGGGTACGCAAGTGGTTAATATAAACCACCTCTCTTTAAACTACATTAAAGGAGGACTTCATTGAATATTTTGAATAGTCTTGTGAATTAGAAACGGCAAAGCACATAATTTACACGTATTTATTTTTACCTCGAGTGTGTGTTAGAATACAAGGCCTGATAAGTAATGATGCCCTTGTATTACTGGTTCTTTACCTTATTTTGCCTCATGTAGAATTAGGGTGCAGAACGGTGCATACAAGACAAGACCCTGCCCTAGACTGCAGGAAGGAGAAACTCAAGCAATGGCATTCAGGGATAGGGGTGATTTCCTCTCACATCCCCTTAGCTTCCCCTTGAATCACCCCACTAGTTAATCCAATCCAGAGATAATGTAAGGGAACCAGTTGGATTCCTCATGAAGGGGGACACTGTGGGCAGCCTTCCTGATTTCTAGCATTAAACTCAGACAGGCAATTAGACAGCAGAAGGATATCAGAGCAAACAGAAAGGGAAAAAAAGGTTTTATTGTATATGTTATTCCAAACAAAGATAATCAGATAAAGGCAAAGAATAGTCCAGTTTAAAAGAGAAAACAGTAAAGTAACCAAAAAATAAAAAATAAAAAAGGAAGCTAGATATTAGAAAATAACCTTAAGTAAGAGGAAGAGGTTGTTGAGACAGCTTAGCAGAGACAAAAGGCACTGAAGAACAGAGTCATCCATATTCCCACACTGTAAGATAAGGCAGATAAAAGGCCAGTTAAACTATGTACAGATTTTAAAAAGTAATTTCAGGAAGATAACGTGACTGGCTTGCTTGACCATCAGTGACAAACGACCATGTTTTAATTGTTCTAAAGAAGGCATCTTTGTGTAAAGTACATTATCAGCATTATTCACCTCAGTTTTCTGTCCTTAACTGAAGCCACCATGATGTCTTTCTTTATCATGTTGTTTATTCCATAATTGTTGCTAATGTTACTCTAAATAAGTCAACAAGATAAAAACCATATGAAGAAATAGCTTTCTTAAAGAATTACTATACAACACTGTATGCTTTCATAACTTTATGCATTGTTAGCAAAGGATGAACTGAGACTACTCCCAAATTTGAGTGAAATACCGTTAGTCTGGATTTTAGCATTCCATTCACAGCTTCAGTATCCAACTAACATTATATTACCTCCATTCATATGGCTTCAGTATTCAATTACCATTGCCCCAAAAGAAAAACACACAGTCTGCTTGGGCACCTGCTCTGTCACAGGGGCAGACAATAACCAATGCATCATGAACTACATGAAGTTTATAGTATCAGACTGTCCTTTAGATTTCCCTATGCATTTTATTGCTTCACAAAGATTAATTATAGCAGAACAAAGAGACAAACAAGAAAAAGAATTAAGTGTGTTAACAGGTCTACCACCAGAGCAGTTTTGAAATGTCCATGCTCATCCCCCCCACTCTGCTTTGAGACAGGTATCATGTAGCCCAGGCTAGTCTTAAACTCTCTAGGTTACTGAGGAATGGCCTTGAATTCTAAACTGTTTGTGTCAGCCTCCCAACTTCTGGGATTTACAGGTGTGCGCCATCATGCCCGCCTGTTTTCTACTTCAGAATGCGCCGACTTTACTTCTGAAGGGCTGACTAAGGCAGCTGCTTTTGAAATGCATGTTTGCCAATAAAAAGAGCACATAGTCATCAAAACCTGGAAACTCTGGAAAAAAATATTTAACCTTATGACACAATATTTACTAAACTTTAGAGAACATTAAAAACAATATGATTCTAGTAGATGAAGTGATATAATCAATTACGAAAATGTAATACATTACAAGAAGTAGTTACAAAGTCATGAAGATAATAGAAGAGAAATACCTTCAGTTGATTGTTAAATGAATCCATTTCTGAGAGCTTAGATGCAGTTTCTTTTTCAAGAGCATCTAATTGTTCTTTAAGTCTTTGGCATAATTCTTCCTTTTCTAATGATTTTTTATGAAGTAAACTCATCCCTGAATCTGAAGTACAAAAGTATCAAGTCAGTTTACATTTGAGAGATGCTCCTATCATTTCCTGTCTGCTCAAAATGATGTAACTAGAGAAATACAAAGGGCATATAATAATCCATAGGTGAGTAGAAGAGACAATACCTTTTATTCCCAAACAATATCTTGTAAAGGTCCTCGAAGGAAATGGATATAAATATTGGTTCTCTACTGAAAGGATCAGGACTCGAAAAACTCTACATTAGGCCGGGCGGTGGTGGCGCACGCCTTTAATCCCAGCACTCGGGAGGCAGAGCCAGGCGGATCTCTGTGAGTTCGAGGCCAGCCTGGGCTACCAAGTGAGTTCTAGGAGAGGCGCAAAGCTACACAGAGAAACCCTGTCTCGAAAAACCAAAAAAAAAAACAAAAAACTCTACATTAGAAAAGGTGTTTGACCAAACACAATAGGCATGATACCACATACCTTATTAAATGAGGTGAATATAAAACCATAGCATAAAGTGGGACTCACAGTAAATACTCAGCTAACAAAATATACTGTTAAAGTAGCTTCATACTTACTTATAACGGTCTCAAGAACAGAGGACTACTCACAGCCAGGACCCAATAAGCTTTACTAACAGGACTATTTAATAACACATTTTGAAAGGTAAGAAGAGAGAGTTTCATTGTACATGATTAAAAAAAATTTACACAAGAATAGAGGAACTAGGTATAAATACAGTGTTTTCCATTAAAATGAAATAGTAGTATTACTATCTAAATACATATTCTAAAATTTTGTATTGTTAAGGTATAGAAATCAAGTATAGAATTTAAATAAAATTAAACACGCAGAGTAAAAAGTTAAGTCCTCCTTCATCTAAAATCCTAACTTCTCCTTTTAAGCATTTGTACTGGGGCTGGAGAGATGGCTCAGAGGTTAAGAGCACTGACTGTTCTTCCAGAGGTCCTGAGTTCAATTCCCAGCACCCACATGATGTCTCACAACCATCTGTAATGAGATCTGGCACCCTCTTCTGTATATATAATAAATAAGTAAGTCTTTTTAAAAAAAAGCATTTGTACTTAGATACGTGTGTATTCACCAAACTTCTACTTAATAGGCTCACATTATCTACAGCATTCTATAACACATATTTGTTTATTTATATTTTTGGTTTTTTAAATTTTGGTGATAGTCGCCGGGCGGTGGTGGCGCACACCTTTAATCCCAGCACTCGGGAGGCAGAGCCAGGCGGATCTCTGTGAGTTTGAGGCCAGCCTGGGCTACCAAGTGAGTCCCAGGAAAGGCGCAAAGCTACACAGAGAAACCCTGTCTCGAAAAAACCAAAAAAAAAAAAAAAATTTGGCGATAGTAGAGATTGAACTGGGGCCTCATGCACACATGCTAGGTGAGCACACACACCCCATCTTCAGTTATTTTAAATTTAAGAATATATCTTATCAATTAGGACATGCAGATCTCATTCTATTTACATAGTAGTCTACATTATGGCTATTGTTTTAATATAACTAATCCTTTTTTATGGTAAAATCCATTTTTATGGTAAGCACCATTCTACTGTTTCTCTTAGTTCAACGTTTTTAGATTTCACACGTGAGATCACACATATTTTATTTACATGGCTGACTTATTTTACTGAGTCTACAGCCTCCATATTATCCATGTCACAAATGACACTGCTTCCCTCTTTTTTTAAGGTAGGATATTCAATTTTTTGTGTATGCATGTGCACACACACATTTTTCTCTGTCTGCTTTCCTGTTGATGAATATGTTTCCACACTTGGCTACTGTGCAGACGCTACAATGAACAGTGGAGTGCACAGATATGATGGACATCTGCTTCCACACTTGGCTGCTGTGCAGGCGCTACAGTGAACAGGGGAGTGCACACATACCTTTGAGACAGTGATTTACTTCTTTCCGATCCACACTCAGATGTGGGTCACATGGTATCACATGGTAGTTTAATTTTTAATGATTCAAGGATCTGCCTAACTATTTTCTATCATATCTACTGATTTACATCCCCATCAATGGGGTGCCAGATTTTCCTCTCTCACCAACTCATATTTCTTCTCCTTCTGATAACATCTATCCTAAGAGGTCTGAGGGGATAATTCAATGATCAGCAATGGTGACCACCCCTCAAATATCTAGTAGTCATTTTTATCTCTTCTTTGGGGAAATGCTTATTCAAGTCTTCTGCCCATTTTTACGTTGGGCCATATGGAGTTTTTCTGTTAGTTTTGGGGATTTTTCTATATTGGGTTGTATGAATTCCTTATATATTTTGGATATCAAACCCCTATCAGATATATAATTCACAGATATTTTCTCTCTCTCCGTGGACTGCTTTGCATCTTGGGTATCTCCTTGGCTGTGCAGAATTCTTTTAGTGGGATGTAGGATGACTTGTTTCAGATTTCTTAAGCTTTTGATATATTTCTATGACAATTTCCTATTTCTATTTTTCTATTTGTGGTGATTTTTGTTAAACTGTCAATGGGGCTGAAGAGCTGGCTCAGTAGTTAAGAGTACTGGCTGCTCTTCCAGACCTCCGGAGTTCGATTCCCAGCACCCACATGGTGGCTCACCACTGTAACTTCAATTTTAGTGGCTCCAATGCCCTTTCCTGGCCACTCAAGCACTGCACACATGTAGTGCCCAGACACACATGAAGACAGACAAATAAAAAACTTTCAAAAGTCCTGCTAAAACAGACCAGACGCTATGAAGGTGGAGGTGAGATGAAGAGGCAGGGGTGGATCTGAGAGGAGTGAGGGCAGGAGTGAGGGCAAAAGTGATCAGAGTACACTGTATGAAATCCTGAAAGAATTAATAAAAATAGTATATTAAAAATGGTTGTAAATCTTCTTTATATCAAGGTACTTTTGTCTGTCTTCTTTCAGGAGCTTTATAGTTTGTATTTTATATTTAGGTTGTACTCTTCTATCTTTGTTGTTGGTTTTGAGACAGGGTTTCATTTTTCAGCCCAGGCTGACATGGAATTTGCAGTGCAGCCCAGGCTGGACTTGAATTCATGACAATCTGCTTGCCCCAGTCTACAATGTTCTGGGACAGGCATGAGCTCCTGTGCCCAAGCTTAGGTGTGTGATTCATTTTCATGGATGGGAAAACAAGGGTCAATTTTACCCTTTTGCATGTGGTTATCCATTTCCCTATATGATTTCTATATGAGATCACGCTTTACCACTATGCTTTACCACTGATTACTTGCCATCTTTGTCCAAACTGCGAGCGAAAAGAAACCTTTCCTTTCTTTAGTTATTTCTTGTCAGGTATCTGGTCACAGCTATGAGATAAGTAGCTAATACAACTTACGATAATATTTTTCACATTATTTTGAAAAATTTAACTTACAGGCAAAATATCATTTTAACGGAATAATGCCATTTTAAAATAATATATTAAAACAATTATTCAGAAACAAAACAAAACTTAAGAGACTTCTTACCAGGTGTGTTATTGAGCTGCATGTTTTTAATTCTTTCATTTAGTAATTGCTTCTCAGGTACCAGATAGATAAGCTTATTTTGATATTCCTTTAAAAAAGAAAATTAGACTCTTGATTAAAACAATATAATGTCTAAGAACTTTTTGAAAAATTTAAAACATGATTTAATCACTTTTAAGACTCAACAGAAATACTACATGGCTGTAGTGTAGAATTATATAGGATAAAAAGAGAAAATATTTAATCAAATACTGATGAATGGGCAGCTGAAATTTAAAGGTAGCCGGGCGGTGGTGGCGCACGCCTGTAATCCCAGCACTCGGGAGGCAGAGCCAGGCGGATCTCTGTGAGTTCGAGGCCAGCCTGGGCTACCAAGTGAGTCCCAGGAAAGGCGCAAAGCTGCACAGAGAAACCCTGTCTCGAAAAACCAAAAAAAAAAAAAAAAAAAAAAAAAAAAAAAAAAAAAAAGAAATTTAAAGGTAATAAAGAATGCCTTCATCAACGCAGAGTATCTAGAGACCTCAACTTTTCTGCACTGTAATGGATGACAGGTGGCAAAGAATGAGAGGGGCCTCCATGTCTAGACAACACATGTAAACAGGCCACAACACTCCATAATGCATAAGTATGTATCAAAGAGCGACTGAGATCTTAGGGAGAAACGGGGAAGCAGTTTTAAACCATGGAAAAAATGGCCCTGCCGTGACAAGGGGAAGACCGATTACCCATCCTTGCAGTAAAGAAGTTAAGTGAGAAGATTCTCCAGGTGGAGAATACTTTTAGTGTACCTATTTTCAAATAGCAATAATTGAACCAGACTCCACTTCAGAAGCAAAGAAGTACCAGGTCTCTGAAAAAAACATCTAATATTTTCTCACCACAGTTCTGAAAAGAGTAACTTCAACTCAGAATTTCCTAAACCTAATAGTAACAACTTCATTGTAATATATGATACGGTGTAAATACGGGTGTCCTGCCATAATTCCAGGACTGACACATGACTCCCAACACTATAGTGATAAGGGTAAGGCTGTACAAGTGATCAAACCATGAGGACATTCCCTCATTACAGGGATTAATGTCCCGCCTTGCTCACTGGCCACGTACAACAAGAAGATTTCACTTTTGTGGTAGAGTAGATCCATGTCAGTGTTAGTGCCTTGATTCTGCAAATGGACTAAATAGCACATAAAGGTAATTTTTATTAAAGTTCAAAGTGAAGCGTGTTTATATATGAATTTAAGCAGAACCTAGCTCACATCTAGCCTATGGACTTTCTGATCTTTTCTATCATAGGTCTGCCAGAAAGTCAGGGGCTCATGACTCCCTAACTGACTATCTATAGGAAGACTGCTGATGCATGTGTTTAAGGTCCATTCAGCTGCAAAAGACCTACCTGAAGTTCTTGTTGAAGGTGTTTGATTTCCATAATTTCCAGGTCACACTGCTTATCCAAAACTTCTAGCTCAGTTTTTTGTGTTTGCTTTCTGATTCGGACATCTTGAAGTCTGCCTGAAATCTGCTGATGTTTTCCACTCTATAGGAAAATCATATGCATATATATGGTAAAAAAAATCCTATAGGAAGATCAAATGCATATATACAGTAAAAGGTAAGGGGAAAATACTTTTATTTAGTTAAATTTCAAATGATACTTAGGATTCATAGTCAGTCTGAGAAAAATGTCTATAATCCATTGGGATCTGTTTTACATTATTTATATGAAGAGTTATTAGCAAGAAACAAATCATTTTCAGAGAGCAAGATCCCATATGCTATGTGAAAAAGCACAAATACAACATACTGAATTTTTTCTGAATTATGTATTTATAACTACCATGAACAATCTCAAAGTATATTTAATTTATTCTTTAGATGTTCTTCAGCTTCTCTTTCTACCTTCAATGTTATTTTCTAATCTCCTTTAGTTAAACAATGTCCAGAAGGAACTTTTGGGTTTCAGTCCTTTTTTTCCTACACTAATACTCTTTTCCTTATGCAGAAAGTACCCCATCCTTCCCTTCCTGGGGAGGGAAGAACAGAGCAGACCTTCTCAATAAGGTCCAAGATGGAGGGTAAGGTGGGGTGCAAGGGTGAATTGTCACCTCACTCCCAAGCCATTTGTCTAATATTTAGAGAAACACACTCTAAGAAGGCAATTAGGGTCAAAAAAGGTCTTTGGAGTGGGCCCTAATCCAATCTAACTAGTGTCGTTGTGAGAAGAACAGACAGACAGACAATGCACCAGAAACGCCTGTGCAGAGAGAAAGCCGTGTGAGGACAGAGGTAGCCTCACTGGAACCGAACCCTGACTTCTGGCCTCCGGAACTGTGACAATTGCTGCTGTTTAGGCCTCTCAGCCTGTGGCATTTTGTTATTGGAGCTCTAGCAATAATACAGTGAGGCGAGGAAAACTGAGTTATCATGATGAAAGTTTGACTAGAGAGCATGTCTTATATTTGAAAAATACACACTAAAACGAATGTTCCATAAACTCTAGAGCTTATTTTATCTTTAACATGTGTAAGTACAGACTGAACCTCTCCAGATACTGACCCATGTTATTGCACTGGTGTGTTACCCTAAACCTTAAAGGAAAAACAGGCAATATTAAGGTCTTCTCTTATATTAAATTTTTTTTATATTTATTTATTTTGTGTGTATATGTGTGGGTGTGCACAGAGTTCAGAGAACAGTTTGTGGGAGTCAGTTTTCTCTTTGTACTACATGGGTCCCGGAGATTGACCTCAGCTTGCCAGGTGTGGCAGCGGGTCTTTATCTAGTCAGTCCAATCTTCTCCCATTTCTAAGAAAAAACACACCATCAAGATGATGGTTCTGATAGATACACACATAGCACCCAGAAGCTAAATGTTTTAAGATCTCTGTTGTAGCACTGTGGCATGATTAATAATTATGGTTTATATACAAAGTAATTTAAGACCATAAAATATCATCCTTCTGACTAAAGATATCATGATGTCTTATATTATTTAGTTATTGTTGCTTTTATTATTATTATTATTATTATTATTATTAATTTTTACAAGATAGGATTTCTCTGTGTAGTTTTGGCTGTCCTGGAACTCGCCCTGTAGACCAGGCTGGTCTCAAACTCACAGATTCACCTGCCTCTACCTTCCAAGTGCTGGGATTAAAGGCATGTGACACCATCACCTAGCATGATACTTTATTTTTAAAGGTTATTTCAATGTAATTCAAGCCAACAAAAAAATATTAAGCACTATTTAGATTAAGACGATCTCAATTTGGTTCTAGCATACAGGAAAGCACTCATCCTGCAAACTCCTGTCGTCCTAGCAAGGCCAGGCTTATGGGAGTCTACCTTTTTATCTTCTCCTCTTGCATTTCAAAGAACTGAACCCGCTAACATTGGATGTGTAAAAGACAGTTAAGTAGAGTGACTAATGTCAGTTAAAAACGAGTTTTTCAAACTGCGAGGAATGGTGTGAGATCCTGAGGGCAAGCAGCTTGCGTGTTTTCCCCCTTTAAGCAAACCCTGGAGAGGTAAGCCTGCAGCACTGTCCAGACAACGTCCCTGTGAACCTCAGCCATACCACTGCTTCCAGCTCCAGGTGGAGGCTCTTCTTCTTCGAGTTCAGCCTGACGATTTCCTCTTGTTCTCGGTTCTTCTGATTGAGAAGCTCCTGCCGACGGATTCTTTCCCATTCTAAACGACGCTGTCTTTCCAGCTCCTGTTTTGCTGCCTAAAAACACCAAATTATTGTTAACTTTTAAATTTAGAGAAATTTGCACCATTCAAAACCTTTAGGACTGAGTGGCCATCATGCCTAAGGGCAGGTGAGGAACTTTCGTTTTCTCAGTGGGCCTACAAAATCCTCAAAAGTGGCTTTGATTCATCACTTTTCACTGCTTCACAGACCATCTTTTGGTTATAGTCATCCTTCTTTTAATAAGCTAAACGATGGCTTCCTAAGTATAAAAAGCAAGAGAAATAATGATGCCTTTGTTCTGGCATCAGAGGAGAAATAATTCCATTCATAATGTTTAAAAGCACTGTAACTCACTGTGCTCCGTTTCTGGCCTGTTAAAACACAGCCAATGTCTCAGAACCTCTTTACTAGGCCTGCTTCGGATCCCTCTCTGCAGCTTCACCTCCCTAGGCTTCAAGTCTTCAGGCTGACTCTGAGGTCTAGGCTTGCCCTCACCCAGTGACCTGCTGTCAAATGAACTGCAGCTGTCACTGGCTCAGCTGCGCACTCAATCCTCCTCTGCACACAATCAGGCTTCCACAGACCTCTGCCAGGAAGCCCTAAGTCCTCACATCACGGTCCAGGGAAGGAGAACTGATTTTGCACGGGGTGGAGTGACCTGACGCAGATGGGAGGCATGACAAAAGTGAAAAGGTCCGCTAGTCCTCGTGGATGAAACGCGTGCAGTCATCCATCAGTGACACTCTTAAGAAAGAACTTGAAGATTACCTCTCGTCTTTCTATCTCTTTTCTCCTCTCTTCCTCCCGCTGCCTCTCCAGTTCTCTCTGTTTCTCCAAGCGTTTTTCCAATTCCAGCTGCTTCTTCCACTCCTGTTCTTGTAATTCTCTCTGTTTGCGCTCCCACTCTTCCTTCTCTTTCTGGGCTTTCCGCTCGGCCTCCCTCTGCTGCTGCTCCATCAGGGCTTGGCGTCGCTTCTCCAGCTCCATGTTTCCGCGCTCATAGTTGGCTTTGCGTTTGTCCTCAAAAGTAACTAAAAGGAAGGAAGCAAGGAAGGGAGGAAGAGAGAGAGAGAGAGAAAGGTAGATAGACAGACAGAGAGACAGACAGACAGATAAATGGAGACTGTATGCTTTCTCCCACAACCTACAGAACCTCTTATCTAGTTCAATCCACTCTGGTCTAGGAGTCATTTGAGTGCTCTTACTCTCCGGCGATTTCTCCTAAGGATTCTTTTAACTCAAATGTAAATAGGAAAGGATTTGCTTTCCTGTAAAAATATTCATTTAAAAACCCACAATTGTCTATGCTTGAATTTATTCAAGCATACTTTGACTATCCAAGCCAATAAGAATAATTGGTTTACCTTTTCTCAGTGCCTTCTTTAATAACCAAGGTTGTGTTTTATCTGCTGTATGTCGTTAACTTTTTTTTAAAGAATTTATTTAACTTTTTATTTTATGTGCATTGGTGTGAAGGTATCAGATCCCCTGGAAATGGAGTTACAGACAGTTGTGAGCTGCCACGTGGGTGCTGAGAATTGAACCCAGGCCCTCTGGAAGAACAGCCAGTGTCCTTAACTGCTGAGCCACCTCTCCAGCCCCAGTGTCGTTAACTTTTTGAAGAAGGCAGTTTTCTCGTTTGGTTTGCTTTGCAGTGCTGGGGAATCAAACTCAGGGCCTTGCATATGCTGGCCAAACATTCTATTATTGCGCTATAACCCCAGTCCTTTCACAAACTTTTTAATAATTTAAAATAATTATGTGTACACTCTTTCAATGAACATTTAAAACTTTTTTCAAAGCTAAAGAGTTTATTACAAAGCTCGATCTGATTTCATCTCCCTAATGTGGAAAAAACACTAATTTTCCAAACATACACACTCTCCCCTCTTCCTTCATCATTTTCAGTTTTACTCTTTGTTAAAATTAATAATTAAAAACATCCCAATGAGCTGGTGACATAGTTCAGTGATAGAAATGCTTGGCTTGTTTACTTAAGTCCATGGATTCAATCCCCAGTAATACACACACACACACACACACACACATACAGACACACACGCACTCACACATACACACAGACACAAATTCCATCCATTAATTTTTTCATATAACATATAATTTGTAAGTCTATAAACACTAAATATTTGTTTGTACTTCAAAATAAAATTTAAAGTAAATACAATTAATTTTAATTTTAAAATAAACCAATTAATTAAAAGTGTAAAATTAACACCTGGCAATTTCTTCTGAGGTTCTTCTTCTTGTGTTTTCTGATATGAAGGCAGAGTTCCGTTAATGGAATCAATTTGCTTCCCCCCCCTAAGAAAAGCAAACAACAAAAAACATCACACAGTCTGAGAATTTTCAGACTAAAAAATACAGGTTACCAACAGTAATCTTATATTTAAATATATTTCAATATTTAAAAATATTCAACAATTTAATATTTAAAATATAGTACTAAGAACATTTAAACACAGTCTGGCCTTTAGTAATGATGTACAAAGTCCTTGGATGTTAGAATCCCCTAATCGCTATTCTTGGGCACTTTTTCTCACCTCTTCAGTTAAACTGATACACTTCTTCTCCGTAACACCTGAAAACAACTCCTGTTATCTACTCCTTCCTAGCACGACGCACTGAATATGAAAATCAGAGAGTCAATATTTATCTCTCCTCTAAACTAAAGCACAGCTTCTGCAGTAGGAATCACTCCTAAGTGATGAAGACCCCAGTCTGCAGCTCCAGAGGCCCTGACCTGAAGGATGGAGGGACGAGCTCAGGAGGTAAAGTCAGCGGAAGCGGCTGTCCAGCTTTGGCCATGTCAGTGAGGTGCATCGCTAGGATAAACTCTTCGGCTCTCAACTGTCCGTCACCATCAATGTCAGCCAGAGTCCTGCAGGAAATGGGACAACTCACAGTTTACAAAGCTCACTGTGTTTTTACTAACTTCAGAGTACAGCTTTTATTTTCACGAGTGATAATAATGACAGCACAAATGCTAGGCTAATAAATTTTAGTAAAACATAAACATATACAGAAAAATGAGTCAGTTTTTACCCTTACTTTTCACAGCCCCAAAGAGAGGGAAGACACTGACTCATTACGGCAACTGCCCATTCTGAGAAGGTGGCTTATCATGTGCCATGTTCAATTCACTATATTAAAAATGAAATAATCTCTGGATGGCAATGTAAGTCATTATATAAAAGAAAACTACAGTGTCACTTATAAAATTAAAGTTATGTTCTCAAGAATGTATGCTTCCCAGGTGACTATTAACTTTCAAATGCCCACTTTTATGGAGCATGCTTGAGTCATAAATTTCCACAGAAACAATCACTTTTCTGTTTGTGTTTTCCGAAACGATCTTCCTGAAGGATTTCTGATAACAGATAATCTATAACTGAAATCATCAATGGACAGACTCACCAGATAGTAGCCAGCTGAGTTTGGGACAGATTTGACTGAAGAAGGGCATTTCTAGCTTGAAAACCTGATTGAGAGAGGAAACCATGAAGAGAGACTACTTTAGCCTCTTGAATGTCATGCAGACAATGCTGCTGCTTTCTTGGAACACTGACTGACAAAATGTTTGTACCAGGGCCCAGGCACTGAGCATTCCAGAGTAATCAAACACAAACTCCAAAGAGTCAGAGTCTGGAATTAGTGAGGATAGGGTGCTCCTCCATGTTCTTCTAGCAAGACAGTGCTCCGCACAGCTCTGAGAGCAAGGGTCAAGCCACTTGGGTCAAGTCTCCCTGTTTGCTCTCCTCCTGTCCCTCTGTCTTCACTGTTTCTCCTCCTACCTGATCTACAAAGCCTGTCATTCCCCCCGGGACTCCTGAGCATCTGAAGCCTGATGACCTCTACATGCACATCGCAGCCCAAACCTCACCTCTCTATTTATACATCTCGAGCCAACCAAAAACCTACATGTGTGTTTCACAGGCAACTAAAAAAAAGATGTCTCAAACTTCTCTGTTCCCATCATGTCCCTCTCCCCAGTTTTCACTCCAAACCGCTCTCTCTTCTCTATGAACTGCATTACTGTCCATGCCAGGACTCAAGACAGAAATCAGTCTTTCCTGACCCCTTGTCCTTGATCATCATTCACCTAGTCCGACATAAGTTATTTGCTGAGAGAAGAGGGAATGTGATTGTTAGAAGGTAGGACATACGTGCCTATTCTACGTCTATCCCTGTGTATGGCCGCTTCACCATCTAAATTGACATGATATGCTAAAGTGACTCCGATGTTCCACAGACACACTTGAGTCAGAGCACAAACAGTGAGCAACGAGAAGGGCGGGCGGGCAGCGAAACTGCCTTTCCTCTCAGAGAGCTGAGGCTAACCGCTGCCCCTACCGCACCCTGTGGTTGGGGAGTTTTCATTCACTTCAAAGCTGCAAGATGAAGTCTGCTCTTCCTGAGAGATGCTTCTCCAAATGGTGGGGTGTATACCCTTGTACTCAGCTTGGCATAAGAATGTGAGGAAAGCAATCAAACTGAACCCATCTTTCAATAATTATACACTTCCAATATTTTTATGTATGAAATGTCTTCTAAATGTCTTCAATGTTAGAACTTTAGATAAGACACAAAGCACAAATTCAATAATAGTTTTTCAAAAGGTTTCTATAAAAGACTAACGATCTCACAAGCACTCTACTCCAGTTACCTGAGAGGTATCCACTCATGCTTTTGTCTAGACTGTTAAATTTCTGCCGATACTTTAATCTTGAAGGCTGAGGAACCGCCCACTCTGAGGTACCAGTCTTGGGCGAGTTCCCTGAGAGGGAAGCAGTTGAGGAAGTTGAGCTATAATGAAATGTATTTAAAATTTTATGTTACCAAATAAAATATATTTAATTAAACTATATAAGACAAAGACATTAAGAATCATTCCTTATATAATATAAAGGCAACAGGCACCTACACCTCCATCTATTAAGAACCTACAATTCCAGGCATTTTACTGTCCAGGGCCTTTAAAAGTGGCATTTCCTATCTTCCAAACACACTTAAAAGATATTATTGTCTACATTTCTTACTTGGTTAAACTATGGTTCAATGATGTTAAAAAAAATTAAATCACAAAAGTCAGCTACAAGACAGTATTTTTCTGGTGAAAGGTAGCTCTTTGTAACTGTTTTGAAAGAACTATGATGACTTCTAAGGCAGGTAATAAACAACACTTGTGCTTTCTAAGTTTAAAAAACACCACCTCAGTCAGGTGTGGTGGTGCACATCTTTAGTCCCAGCACTCAGGAGGCAGAGGCAAGGCAGATCTCTGAGTTCGAGGCCAGTCTAGTCTACAGAGTGAGTTCCAGGACAGCCAGGGCTACACAGTGAGACTCTGTCTCAAAAAACAAGAAAATCAACAACAAAAGAGAAAACTCATCTTAAATATTTATACTTGTCCATTACAAAGAATAACCAGAATAAGCCCAGGGCTTGTTAAATAAAAATCTACATTGAAAGCAGACAAAGTTCTATGCGTTAAGTTTTCATACCTACTAGATCCTAAATCAATCAGAGACTGGGCCTTCTGGATACTAGCACCACCAAATCCTCCCATCATCAGACTGTAAGATGATGCATGAGGCAAAGCTGTGGGGAAAAAAGAGAGAGAAAAAGGAAAAGATCTGTACTAGCAATTCCACAAACAAGGAAATCTCTGAACAGCAATTGTAACATGTTGTTACACATGTCCCTTCACATGTCCGACTCACTAGACACTTACTTGAAGAAGAATAAGGAATGGATAAAGGCTGAATGAGACTGGCGGTTCCATTTGGTAAGGATGATGTACTAACGGAAGGCACTAGGGGAGCAGGCATCATTAAGGGAGGAATACTGGTCCCTGAAGTTGCAGAAGACAAGGGTGTTGTTATAGGTGCAACTGGAGGCAATGGCTGAGGAATGGACAGATTGGGCATGCTTCCCATCCCTAGAGATAAAAGAGAACACATTTTTCAATGGTACCAAGTCAACTATAAAATACATGCCCAAAAGCAAGTCTCAGCACAAGAAGCAGCCCCAGTGTTTGTAGAAACACCATGGGCAATTGATCCTTAAAACACTCCCTAAAGCAGCTTTGAACCTGAAGTGGAGGAGATAAGCTACTGCTCTGAATGCTAATCATTTACCACGTATGAACTACAAGCGAGCCCAGGCATCACTCAAGTTTTCTTTTCCTGTTACACTAAGACTAAGCAATCTTTGTCAACTAAAACAGTATGTCAAAGATAAAAAGTTTTATCTGACTGTATGGTTTTCTTTGTAAGGAAAACAGATCCAGAGCTACTAAGTTACTAGACTACTGTGCATGCTCATTCCTCAAACAAAACAGGTTCTAATAGTAGGTGCTGTGGTAGACATGTTTATGTGTATGTTTTATTGGCAAACATGCCACACATCTCCCTCCAAGTTTCCCTCCAAATCCACGAATTCAAAGCCAAGTCTTTAAAATAAGTGATGACTTTTATTTTCTTAACTGTGGAACACTAAATACAACATAAAATATGGCCACCCGGTGTTTATCTCTACGGTTGAGTACAAGAGTGGAAGAATAAATACAGTGTTTTAAAATCTAGTATCCAGTGTAGAGGAATGCATTTAACACAGAAACACCTTATTGAATGTCCCATTCAAAATGAGTGCTTTTCACATATAATTAATAAGAAATTGGCTAGTCAAAATTATATGGAAAGCATACCAACTGGTAATTTCTGAAGAGGGTGTAAATTAATTAGGACAAAGTCTACAATTTTTTTTTGCCTCAATTTAGCTGGCTAATTAACCTTTAAATTAAAGAAATTCTACTCATCTATGATTTTAAATTACTATATAAATTAAACCCCTTCAAGTGAGTTTAAATTTATTCAATCATCTTGTTTTATTTATTTAATATTAAGAACACACACTGTACCTATTTCTGAGGTACAGTGCAGTGTTCTGATATGTGGATACAGATATAACCAAACCAGGGTATTTAGCACATCTACCATCTTGAACATTTATTATTTCTCTGTGCTAAAAACATTCAGAATCTTCTCTCCCAGCTGCTTTGGAATGCGCAATGCAAAGCTGTTAACCACAGTCACCCTACCATACAGCATAACACCAGAATTTGTTCTAACTGTAATTTCGTAACATTGACCATTTCTCCTTGACTGCCCCTCCCCCGTCACCTTCCTTTGGTGGCCTCTAGTACTTAGCACCCTGCTTCTCCTTCCAGGAGAGACAGAAGAACCTAATAGGAACAATATTTAGAGTCAGTTGAAACTAAGGAGGCAGATCACTTATTCACAACTAGGAGCTGTAATGGAGGACTCTGGCAAGACCAGACATGGACACTTAGCTATGGCAGTACATTTAAGATTTCTTCTCTTAAAGGCATGAAGCTTAACTTAGAAGTCTGAGAATTGTCATTTTGTGTTAATAAATCCTTTCCTGATCCCCAAGGGATCAAGCTTAACAACCAAATAAGGCTAATAAATTAGTGATACACACCGAAACGAGCGGAGATGAGTGGGGAGAACATGGGGGGCTGCTTCATAACAGGAGGGAGAACTAGAGGCAGCTGCTGCCCTTGAAGCTTTAGTTTGATGAGTTTCATAGCTATGGAGAACTCTTGCTGATCCATCTTCCCATCCTTGTTCAAATCTGATAAGGCCCTAAAAGGAGAATGAGGTGAGTAGATCAGTGTGTGCGGGGCAATAAGGAAACAAAAATTACTGTTGAGGTTAGAAAATAAAACCAATGACAAAGCATTCACATGGAGACCATCACTCAATTGAGTAGACATACATATGAATAACAGAAACCTGCATAGTGAGAAATACTAGCCAGGGACAGTACCTAACAAAATGCTCACAGACCACAGGTAATCTACAGTTCACAGAGGATTTCCAACAATGTAGACAGAAAATAATCATTCAAAACACTATAATTCTAAGCCAGTAATGAGAGCAGACCCCTGAAATCCCAGGCATTATGGAGATGAGGTAAAAGGATTGTTCCAAGTTTGAGGCCGCCTGATCTACAGAGTGAGTTTTAGGACATCCAAGTCTACATAGTATTTTATATATACATACATGTGCATTTTATATAGGTACATAAATTCTAAGTTTAACTTACTGACTTGTTCAAATAATTGAAAACATGTTTGTGACTAGCATTTTGTCAAGCACACAAATGTTCCGTAAGGAAAAAGGATGAGGTAGAAGATCTCATTTATTGTAAACACATTAAAAAACACAATCCCAGATACTCTAGAATATTTTTAAAAATTTATTATTTTTTTTATATGTATGAGTGTTTTGCCTACATGTATGTATATGCACAATATGTGTGCCTGGTACCCACAGAGGTCAGAAGAGGGTGTCAAAACCCCTGGAAGTTGAATTACAAATAGTTGTGAGCTGCGATGTGGGTGCTGGGAATTGAACTCAGGTCCTCTGCAAGAGTACCCAATGCTCTTAGCCACTGAGCATCTCACTAGCTCCTCTAGAATAATTCTTAAGTAGGAGCAAAGAAAGGGATGACTACTTTGGGGTTTACAGATGATGAAAAGAAATGAAACTACAAAAAGATAACAGAAAGAGGAAGCTGAGATTTCACCAAATTGTACAGAAATATTTCTCAATGATAATTCATACATTCTTTCTTGAATTCTAATGGAACTAGAGATTTGTCCTATGGAACAAAACTTCAAATTACTTTCACTCATTTATTCAGTGTAATTTATTTTTCAAAGAGCTAAGGAAATATTCTTATTTAATAATAGAGTACAAATGAAAACAATCTGATGTTAACACCATATTGTTTAAAAAAACAACAGCCCATCAGAAACTTATGTACATTTATAAGAAAGCATCTTACCATATTTCAGCTAAAACTGGGGCCGGCAGACCTGACTGCAGGAAAAAAGTACGGGCTTGATCACCTGAAAGTAATAAGCACAAAAGCCAAGTGATACATTAGCAAATGGAATTATCCTAATACTTAGGAATAATAACAGCTGGCACACGACGATCATTAAAGAATATGTGAGTTATAGATGTACATACGAAGTTATTTACATTTTAATGTAAGTCACCACTAACATCCTCTCTACTAATCAGTAAAGAGAGTATATTATTCATCTTTGAGTTTTCACCCTAAAAGAGTTCTATAATTAAAAGTATGAAGTGCTAGGAAAACATTCCTTCACGAGCTTCCCCATCCTTCTATGTATGCTTGCTGAACATACCAAGAACACAAAAATTCAATTCCTCTTTGCTTGGGTTTTCAGAATGGCGTTTGTAAATGGAAAGTCTTAAGGAACAAAGTAATAATGTCTCCCACTGGAACGTGGAACAAACTTGCTATAGAATGATGGCTCTTCTGAGCTCAGTGTTTTCCTACAGCACTCACAGCATGCAGAGTATGTTTCTAACACACTGTAGCATCCTTGTCAGGCTCAGGGAACAAAGGAAACCAACACAACACTGCTAGCTGTTCTGTTAGTGGTCTCAGATCTTCTAGTAGCCATGAGTGGTCACTGGCCATTATTAACATGGAAGCCGAGTAATCAAACAATGACAGCAGGTCCAGTATAGCAGGAACACAAATGACCTCAGACTATAATGAACAGAAGGATGGATTCCAAAGTCAGACTAAAAGCTATCAGCTGCAGTCATCTTGATAGCCTTAGGTAAACTCCACCTCATGTCTCAGCCAAGGCTTTACCCTGTGTGAATACAGACACACATAGTGTCTGCCTCACAGGGGTGCTGTGAAGGTGAAACGCACTGGGCTTTGTACTATGTCATTACTGTCCCAATTGTGTTATAGAAAGCACTAGGACGCAGTGGCACAGCAATGGAAAGTTTCAAATTGCTAGGGAAGGAAGGAAAGACACACCCAAACCAGTCACCTTTGTTCTGCCGGTCTGTCTACAAAACAAGGGCTAACATCAACAATTAATATTTAAATTTCGGGGGGGATCTCTGGGAAATATATCTGATAGAAGAAATAAATCAAGGGGGCTGGAGAGATGGCTCAGCATTTAAGAGCACTGGCTGCTCTTCCAGAGAACCTGGGTTCAATTCCTAGTATCCACATGGCAGCTCATACCTGTTCTAGGGCTTCTGACACCTCACACACACATACATTCAGGCAAAACACTAGTGAACGTAAAATAAAAATAAATTTAAAAAAATAAAGAAATCTGTGGTGATAATTTGTTTGTGGTCTAACAAACAAAGCCGCCTGGAGATCAGAGTGCAGAGCTAGCCAGACAGTGGAGCACACACCTTTAATCCCAGCACTAGGGAGGTGGAGACAGGAAGTGATATGGCTGGGCTAAGAGAGGAATATAAGGCGGGGGATGAGACAGGAGCTCACCCCTTTCAGGCTGAGGAGTTGGTAAGAAGTGACTGTGGCTTGCTCCTTTGTCTCTCTATCTTTCAGCATTTACCCCAATATCTGGCACAGGCATTTATTAAAAAGATAAATTAGGATTTGTGCTACATCTGGCATCCAACTTTTGGGGCATGAATTCATGGAAAAGCCGCTTGCCAGAGCTGCACGCGGCTGGAGTCACTGCCCCACTGGCAATGTTTTCCTTTGGGGATATTTCTGTTGCAGCCTATCTGCAGCAAACCCCATAGGCTTTTGGGCTCCAAAAAACATAGGAGTTAGCCACTTTGGCACATTCCTCCTGTGCAGACGGCTGGATCTTGCGCTTCTTCCCTCCCAGTGGGCCGTGGGCTTTCCCTGGATTCCCCCCTCCTCAGGCTGCTGCCACACTAGGTGGCTCCCTGAAAACAGCGCAGGCCTCTACTGTTCTATGGAGAGCAGTCAGCCCACACTTCACCATCATCTGAATCGTCATGGCTGGCAGATTTAGTGAGACAACTGGGAATTCTTAAAGGGAGGAATTAGTTAAAAGAGAGAGTTTTTCCCACGTTAAAAATGGGAAACACTACTGTAATGGAGGGAGTTAGGTCTCTGTATGATAATACACTGGTCCGTTTGAAAAATGGAACAATTAAATGAGAGAATAATTACTTTAGATGGGATTTATGTAATGTCAATTATAAATATTATCTGTTTGATGATTTTTGTTTTATCATTTAAGAGTTGGTTAATATGAGTGCCAAAATAAAAGTTTTAGAAAAACTTATTAAAGCAGATCATAGATATATTCAGACCCAAACAGAGGAATTTAAAAGAGAACCAATCTCAGCATTGCATTATAAGGTTACAGAGGAATAGCCTATGATTTTCAAACAGTCAACCTCAATTTATCCAGTAACCTTACAGGAACTGCCAAATGATAGATATTCTCAAGGCTGTGTAAGAGAAAACTGGACTCCTGTGCAAATCTTAGATTTAAGGAGATTCACGGAAGCCATAGTCTCGTATGGCATGCATTCACCTTTTGTGAAACAGATGTTAAACTAGTAGTCAACTTGTAATAGAATTATCCTTCAAGACTGGAGAGACTTGGTTATAGCAGTTTTGGAGGCTGGTCCTCAATTACAGTGGAGGACCTGGTGGAAAGATGAGGCTAAGATCACTGAACAACAAAATTGGGCTAGAGGTACAGAAGTCTCCCAAGACCAACTTCTTGGAGAGGGAGATTATGCTGAACAATGGGGTTAGATTCAGGATTATTGTTTTAAAAAAAGAAAAAAGAAAAAAAAAGGGGATATGGAAATGATAAGATAAAGGGTAGATTATTGAATCTACTCTGAAAAGAGGGGGATATAGATATGATAGGATAAAAGAGTAGATTACTGAATCTACTTTTAAAAACAACTATTTGTTTTAAATATTATATAGTGATATCAATCTTTGTATATTGATACAAAGTTGAGATTATTTTTGTTAGAACATACTGTACATACATTTCTAATCTTGTTCAAAGTATTGTACCTATGCAACTCATTAACAATGTATTTCAAATTCCTAGTCTTTGAAAGTTATTATTACCAACTATTTAGGATAATAAGGAAATGCAGGTTAGTAGTTAGTCACTTATTACAATCAAACTTGTAGTCATGTTAGGTATGTTTTCAAGGTCAAACAGATATATTTTAGGTAGACAGGTGGTCTTCAAACACTTCAGAGATCTACAGAATATGACATTTAAGATGTTTTAATAACATAGGTTCTTTTTTTTTTTTTTGGTTTTTCGAGACAGGGTTTCTCTGTGTAGCTTTGTGCCTTTCCTGGAACTCACTTGGTAGTCCAGGCTGGCCTCAAACTCACAGAGATCCGCCTGGCTCTGCCTCCCGAGTGCTGGGATTAAAGGCGTGCGCCACCACTGCCCAGATTTTTTTCTTTCTTTTTTTTTTTTCTTTTTTTTTTTTTTTGGTTTTTCGAGACAGGGTTTCTCTGTGTAGCTTTGTGCCTTTCCTGGAACTCACTTGGTAGCCCAGGCTGGCCTCGAACTCACAGAGATCCGCCTGGCTCTGCCTACCGAGTGCTGGGATTAAAGGCGTGCGCCACCACCGCCCGGCTCTTTTTTTTTTTTTTTTTATGACAATGAGACATGTCTGCTCCTGGCAGCACCAATCTACTTTGGAGAAGATGATGGGCATCCAAGAAACCCCACATGGAGTTTGCTTTCTTTGTGGCAAAAGTAAGCCACTGGGCAAGAAAGTACTCTTGCCTTGACTGCTGACAGTATGCTGTTCAAATGGGACAAGCAGGACACAAAAGAAAGAACTGCTGAACTTTGCCAAGACAAGGTAAGACAGCTCTTCAGAAAAGGGCTTAGCCTGCTTCACAGATAAGTGTGTCAGATATGCTAGGCCTGCAGGCTGAAGATGGATGCCCCAATGTTACAGAGGAACCTTAGGTGACTGTCCAGGCAGCCAGCTATTTCTATCATTTCTCACATTTTTTGAAAGTCACTTGCTTGGACTTCCTGCTCACTCAAGTAATATTATTTCCTTCTCGGGTGTCTGGTGGAGTTGAAGACTAGATAGTTATAGTTTTCCTTGTTACAAGATTCAGAAAAGAAATTCACTAAAGAAGTGTAAAGTGTACAAGGTTGAGAGACATTAAAAGATTTTGGTAATGCAAGTTAGAATAGAAAGTGAATTAGGTACAACCTTTTGGACTCACCAAGATAGGATAGATATGGAGTATTTTCTCTGAATTTGTCTATAGTTAATGGATTAGACATTGTTAATGTATTTATTGTCTGTATATATTGTATATAGTTATTGTACTTATTGTATATAGGTTTTCTTTTATTAGTTATAACCTTTTTTTAAAAATTTTAGACAATCGCCGGGCGGTGGTGGCGCACGCCTTTAATCCCAGTACTCGGGAGGCAGAGCCAGGCGGATCTCTGTGAGTTCGAGGCCAGCCTGGACTACCGAGTGAGTTCCAGGAAAGGCGCAAAGCTACACAGAGAAACCCTGTCTCGAAAAACCAAAAAAAAAAAAAAAAAAAAAAAATTTTAGACAAAAAAAGGGAAATGTGGTGATATTTTGTTTGTGCTCTAATAAGTAAAGCTTGCCTGAAGATCAGAGTGCAGAGCTAGCCACTAGTTAACCACAGAAGCCAGGCAGTGGTGGCACACACCTTTAATCCCAGTATTTAGGATCTCATGCCTTTGATCCCAGGGCTTGGGAGGCACACACACCTTTAATCCCAGCACTAGGGAGGTTGAGACAGGAAGTGATATGGCTGGGCAGAGAGAGGAATATAAGGTGGGAGGAGACAGGAGCTCAGCCCTTTCAGGCTGAGGAGTTGGTGAGATGAGAAGTACCTGTGGCTTGCTCCTTTGTCTCTCTGATCTTTCAGCATTTACCCTGATATCTGGCTCTGGGTTTTTATTATTAAGACCAATTAGGATTCATGCTACAGAAATCAAAAAACTTCTTGAAATAGTATTAATATGTAATAAAAGAGATTCCTGACCATCATTTAGAATCCAAGAAAAGAACTTTCATATGCTAAATTAAATCAATAAATTAAGATAGTTTCAGGAAAAATATTTTGATATATATATATATTTGATTACTTAACATAAATTTGGTAGCTATAAGATATATGAACAGAAACATAATTTACAATAAATAACAAAGGATAAACACAAACCTGTTATGTAACCTCCTGAAGGCTTGAGGTTATCAAACTGTTTGTCATGCTTAGTGCGTTCTTCAGAGGTAATAGCCCACATATTCGGCCCTCCTAAAACATAATGAAAGGCCAAGACATTATAGCATGTACATGAGCCTGCTCAAAAAAGGTATATCCATAAGAATGCAAAATTCTAACATGTAAATATGAATCCTAAGTATGCATTTGATGAGGACAGTTAATGTCTGAAGGACATAAAAAGTAGAACTCTTATCAACTATATACAGCAACCCTAAGGCTTTTCAGTCATTCACTCAGTTAACATCTATTAACTGTATACCACTCACAAGAATGAGGTAAATATCGGCAATCAAAAGAGTAAAGCTGGGTAGTGGTGGCACACACCTTTAATCTCAGCACTTGGGAGGCAGAGGCAGGCCGATCTCCAAGTTTGAGGGCAGCCTGGTCTACAGAGTGAGTTCCAGGACAGTCAGGGTTATAGAGAAACCGTGTCTCAAAAAACCAAAAAGAAAAAAAAAAAGAAAGATTAGACTATTCTTCTCCTCCTCAAAGAATTCCGACCTAGGAAGCAAGTCCCACCATGTTCTGTGCTAGCTGTGAAGGACCCTGAGCGGAAGGGTGACAACAGCTGTGGGGCTCTAAGTCAGAAGCATCAGAAGTGAGATACAGGAAAGATTAAGCATCTCGCCATGTGCTGAGGTGGTATGAGAGCACTTCGCTCATACAAAAAGGATGTGGTTTGAGAAGCTGGGATGTCCTAGATGCTCTAAGTACACCAAAGAGGCTACTAGCTAAGGTACCATACATGTGAGTACAGAAAGTGGCTTGAAGTAACTAGCCTGAATGAACTGCAAAGAGTCATTTTCTTTTTCCTTCAGGGGACTGAACCTAAGGCCTCCCTGTACGAGGAAGCTGTCTACTACCAAGCTATATCCCTAACCCTCTATTTCAGACTCTCTTTCAAGGTCAGGGCAGATGTCACTTCCTTCAGGACCCTGACATCACTAGATGACAGTAATTGTTTCCTCTTCCAGATTCTCAAGATAAACTTCATGCTTCTGCAGAGCACTCAGGAAGCTGTGGTAGCTGTCTGGGGTCCATCTGCTCTAGCAGACTCTAAAGCCTGGGAGTAGGAGCTTTGTGCATTTACCTTTCTATTCCAAGAACCAGCTGAGTATCAGCAAAGAGCAAACACTTAAAAATGCTTCCTGAATAGATGTCTAAATCAATAAAAGAGGGAGTAAGCAGTGTGTGTGTGTGTGTGTGTGTGTGTGTGTGTATGTTTGTGTGTGTGTGTGTGTGTGTGTTTACTACATAGATGAGGACTAGAGGAAACATAACACTCACAAACCCTTTTGCTGTCACACATAATCATTAGCGGCCTTCTGAAGGAGTCTTTGGAAAGCTTTATACATTCACCTTGGCTAATAATCACCTCAACATCACTTCTGGCCACTCTTTCAGCTTACTCAACATCTGTCAACAGGAACCACATGTATTTAGACACATAAACTCATATATATCTGCTGTCCACATGGTATAAAATCTGTGTTAGAAAGGCAATTCCCAAGAAAACTAAAGGTCTACTCTAATTTTAAATGCTAAAACTGATTTAACACATTTTGCTTAGCCCTAAATGACAGAATTAAAAAAAAAACTAAAAAAAGAAGTCTTAAGAGGTAGAGTTAAAAATAAAGAAACCTGCGGAAGAACTAAGGCTCTAAAGCAGCAAAGCCTACACACTTCTGAAACAAACACCACATGTGTAATTTCCTTGTCTTATCAGCTTATTTATCAGAGATTAAGCATACTATCCATGCAATATACCTACAATAAAATAACACTGAACATCATCGTTCACCCATTAAGATTAGCAAAATAAACCAGGAACATGGAGGAGGCCAGTGTGTGGGGAGGAATGACTAAGAATAAAATGTAATGACACACATGTGTGAAAATTCCATTAAAATAAACTGTCAGAGTCCTGTAATGGGAAAGACAAATGTATATTACAGAACTTATTTACTGGGTAGTGTATGACTCTGGAGAAAATGACAACAAAGGATGAAAGCAGCTGTGAGCCCTGATGTCAGGCATTTATATGCAATCGCTCATTAACTCCACCAGCACTCTACTCTAAGTTAGGGTACTATTATGGATAAGGAAACTAAAAACAATGGTGCAAAAGTAACTAGCTTAAGATGATACAATAAGTAGCAGAGCTGAGATTAGAACTTGGGCAGTTGAGGATTAGCTGAACAGTAGAGCATGTGGCGAGCAAACACAAGACAATGGTTTGGTCCCCAGCATGAGATGGAGAAAACAGGAACTGAGGTTAGAACTGGGGCAGCCTGAATTCCCTGAACTGTATGACCTCCCAGCACACGTGACAATATGCCCATGGTGTCTGTACTGCCACCTCTGAGGCCTAGGAATACTACCTAACCCAATGGTTTCTACAGGGACCATATGGAATATGCAGTATACCTATGATAAAACAATGACTGAAGAATGACAGAACAAAGCGTAATGACATACACATGGAAATTCCATTTAAAAAGCTCACTACTTTGTATACTAACTAACATAAAAAACTAATTAAAAAATAAAAATGGGCAAAAAGGTCTCACTGTGTAGCCCTGGTTGGCCATTGCTATGTAGATCAAGCAGCCTCAGACTCAAAGAGATCCACATGTCTCTGTCTGGGATTAAAGGCATGCACCACCAAGTCTGGCTTTAGTGCTCTTTTATATACAACTGTCTTTTCAACTTTTCCTGGATGCTTGTCTTCATAGGAGGAAACTCACCCAGCCTGTTAATATTTGCTGCTTTAATTCCTCATGACTCCAAGCAGCAACCATGATCCCTCATGTTCACTCATTCAATAAACATGTACGGGGAACAAAGATGAATACACAAACCCCTTTTAAAGGTGCTCCCAGCTTTCTTAATATTTAAGACCCCACCACCAAGAAAAATCACAAACAATAGTCATTATTATTATAATTAACATTATCTGTAGAAATTAAATGTTTAATAAGTTAGTTAGGACATGCAATAACTTCTAAATCATATTCAAATAACTTTCAAAACAAGGGATCACTTTAAATTTTAAAATATTAATGTACCAAGAATTTTCTAGAAATGAGATAACCTCAAAATGAAAAAAGATCAGTAATGTATGTGATTCAAATCCAATTTTTAAATAATTGATACAATTCTAGTTTTCTTACTTGGAATGTAGCACTAACAGAATCTTAACTATTTGGTATTCTGCACCTGGAGGGAAGAAAACTTCCCAATGTTAGTCTATTTTTGCAAGCTTTATGGAAAGACAGAATAACAAGGTGGGGGCTAATGTCCTCTTACACTGTCTGATAATCATGTTAGGAATCCATCAAAATTCCACCCATTTCCCCCCAACTCATCACTACACTAAAGGTGGATTTTCAGAGAGATTTCTGTTGTTTACTCTCTTCTTGCTACCATCTCTGTCAGGCACATTCATAAACTAGAGAAGAGGGAAGAGTTTCCAGTGATAGAGAACAACGATATGCGAGTCAGGAATATCATCTGACTTCACATGTGTGGATACACATACCTATCTATAAATATACAAGCATACATAAAGAGCACAGCTTGTTCTATGGAGTAGGTCAATACTACAATTCTAAATGGAAGTAATTCAAACATGCTATATTTAGATACAAAAATAAAAACTAAATTCTAGAAATAGTCTGCACTGATATTTGTCTCCAGTTTAAAATAATATTTAAAACAAATTTAAACAAATAACATTTAAAGTAAATGATGTATACTCATTTAATGATGTATACTGACCTCATTTAAATTTCATCTCTAATTTAAATCTCTAACATACAATTCTTTTGCTGTTCTAAACAGAGCTGTAGCCTGGGTTATGGGAACTTGAATAACAAAAATCTGGGTTTTACAAGTACAGTGCAATGCCACCTCAGACTGTACAGACCCATCATCTAGCTCAGCAATTTCCTAACCATACGGTTGAAAGATTACTGAGCCCTACAATTCTAAAAAGATAACAAAGTTTCAAGAAAATAGGGTATTCCTAGAGCCACTGGAGGTTTTTATTCTGTACCCTTCCTCTCCTTTCTGGAGTATGTATAAAGCCATTATGATGGGCTTCATAACTTCTTCCTCAGTCTATCTTCAGCACCCCGTAATTCAGAGGCTGGAACAAGCTGTCACCCTGTAATATCAACCAGCAGCAGCACATATCTGAAGTAACCTCTTGCCTAGCACTGGAAAGCCTATCCATCACGTTCTCTCAATCTGCAAATTTATTCCGTTTCTAAAAAGCAGAATGCAAAGCACTGTGATTAAGATGGCTTTGGGAAGGACGGTTCTGCAGTGCAAAAGATCAGGAGCAGAGCTGCAGTTGCAAAAACAGGAGGCACTGACAGCCCTGCTAATCTCGTCAAGAAAAAAAAAAAAAGAAAAGAAAAAGGAAGTGAAGCACCAAAGACTAAGAAAACAGACAACAAACCATCTTGTTTGATAGAGCTGTGTGACAGGGAGTAAAGGTTCTTCACCTGCACTGTCCAATTTGGCAGCCTCAGCTACACGTGGTGTTAAGCACATGAAGTGCAGCAGTGTGGCTCACTTGATTTTTATTAGTTTAAACTGAAACGGAGACAGACAGATGTGGTTACTGTATTAGACAAGAGCACTCAGAGAACCAAAGCAGCCTATGAAGTCTGTAGTTAGCCTCGGAGGGAGAAAACATAAACACGGCCAAATTAGATGAAAATGTCACAGCGTTAACACAAACCACCGGGCCCAGGCGTATTTTACAGGGAAGTCCCAACAGTCTCCGGCATCAAAAGATGAAACTGTGACGCAGGAGTTACCAGAGGTGCGACACTGCTTTAGAAGTTCTGTGTTATACATGGATGTAGTTTTCAATAACACTTTAAATGCTGAATTGGACTTAAATTAGATATATGCAAGTTACTCAACTATTTTAATAGGCTAAGTAAAAGGTAACAGAGTCTCTCTGATATCAATTTTCAGAAGTTTTTTTTAAATGACTATCGCCGGGCGGTGGTGGCGCACGCCTTTAATCCCAGCACTCGGGAGGCAGAGCCATGTGGATCTCTGTGAGTTTGAGGCCAGCCTGGTCTACAGAGCGAGATCCAGGAAAGGCACCAAAACTACACAGAGAAACCCTGTCTCGAAAAAACCAAAAATAAAAAATGACTATCTTTATTCCTACATACCACTTCCTAATAATTTGAATCTTATTCACGTGGGTATTTTTGTCATTGAATATTTTGTTTGTTACCAATTACTTTTATTTCTAATGCAATGAGCTATATAGTAAATATTTATGGAATGAAACAAAGACTGGGATCATACTACTTATGTGTTTATTTGATTTGTTAACCTTATTAATAGGCTGGTTGAAGTCTGTAAGTAAACTGTAAATAAACTTTTTTATATGAGGCACAGAAATTCTCAAACCTGGAAGAACACTGCTGTCTTAAACTTATATATTACTCATTATGGAAAAATGATTATTATTTAAAAAGTATCTGTGGCATCAATCCCTATAATCCTATACCATTTCCACAATGGGAACAACATCTATTTTAATCTTACATTTACTTATTGACTGATTGACTGATTGATTGATTGACTGATTGACTGATTGGAAGGGGCACAAACTAGGTAGTATGTGGAAGTCAGAAGACAATTTGTAGGAGTCACTTCTGCACCATGTGGGTCTCAGCATAATTAGATAATATAAACATGAAGTAATATAAATATTTATAAAGGAAAACAATCTTATATTTGTATTACTAAATAAATCTTGTTGGCCTAATCTGTCTGCAATCATCTGTACACCTACAAACACCCTACTGTTCACCTAAGGACACTCTGCTTTTCGTCCTCCAGTTTCATGCTTTAAGCAGACTATCCCTTCAGGTTATTCTCAATTGTTCAATGGGAAGCACATATTCCAAATACTATCAAAAATACTTCAACAGAAATGTGGAATTTAATGCAAAATACTAAAAGAAGATACATGTATTGCTCTGAAATACTCGATATTTCAACCAGAATACTTCAGGTTTTACACTTCAAAAGTCAAGGAAAATCATCTACATAAATATTTCCAACAACAGGCTCACCACCACCACAAAAGCCCCCATCCCCTCATCCTGCCATTGGCACAAAGTTGCTCACCGTTCATAGCTGTGGGAAACTGAGCCATCATGGTCCTGAATTTTTCTTGCAGTTCTCAGCCATCTGCAAAGCGAAAACATGGTGCCATTAACACAACAAGGACAGACCACAGCTTAGTGCTAAGCTGTGGGACTGACTGTCCCCGTTAGCACACATGCCCAACAAAAAACAACACAGAGCTCCTGCTGCTGCTGAACAGGCAGAATTCACAGTTGGGGATGAGGAGCGGATTCTGTTGGCCATAGTGCTGCCTTCAGTACATGACCGTTTAAAAGAAACAGTCTATGCAATAGCATATACAGAACACAGAAACCCTGGGCACTGATCAATACTTCTGTAGAAGTAAATTCAGGAGAGAGAAAGAGCTGTTATGATTAGGGAAGAACTGATTTACGGAAATCAACTGCATAAATATATAAGTATATATAACATGGAGGCCAGGCAGTGGTGGTGCACACCTTTAATACCAGAACTCGGGAAGCAGAGGCAGGTGGATCTCTGTGAGTTCGAGGCCAGCCTGGTCTACAGAGCAAGTTCTAGTACAGCAGTACAGCCAGGAACCTTGTCTCAAAAAAAAAAAAAAAAAAGAAAAGAAAAAATAACATAGAAATCCCTAATTTGTTTTAAGCCCCAGCAAGAAATATATCCAAAATAAATGTAGTACTGCTTTTTAATTAAGCTCTACAGGTCCAAAAAATTAGTCTAAAAAGAGTGGAGGAGATAGCAAAGCACAGACACACATAAAGGCACAGAGTTTAATAGTAATTATCAAGCTGGGCGGTGATAGTGAACTCGGGAGGCAGAGGCAGGCGGATCTCTGTGAGTTCAAGGCCAACCTGGTCTACAGAGAGAGTTCCAGGACAGGCTCCAAAGCTACACAGAGAAACCCTGTCTCAAAAAAACCACAAAAGAGAAAAAGTATCAAAAGGCATCATAATTATTAAAATACATTTATGTTTATTTAAACAAGTGAACTGGGAAGAGGGTTTTTGCAGCTAGCGTCTCTAGGTTCAGATCTACTTGGCTCTATTCCTAACTGTGACCACAGAAAAGTTATTTAACTTTTTTTAAAGTCTTAGATTCCTTGTCTACAAAAATACTTCGGATCAGTATTTTTTTTAAGTATTACATAAACCAATACACTGTCTGACACATAGTATGTATTCAGTAGATGACTGCTTTTCTGTAAACATCCGGAGAATGTGAAGTATCATTTTTGACACCCCCATTCATTATTTAAATGTAAATAAATACAAAATTCAAAATTTGTTCTAAAAATCTTGAAGATAGGACTAGTTAGGGACAGTTAAAAAGACCACTCAGTACCTCATCTAGTTAATCAAATAATTTAAATATTAATAGTTTTAGGAACACTAGAAAAATACTTGGGTAGGTGATTTTAAACAAGGCAGTCAGGAAAGGTTCACACGAAGCTATCACCAGGAAAACTGTCTGTCTGTCTGTGAAACAGTACTATTACAAGGTACCATTATATTAGTGAATTCAGTATGCTAGCACCCTATGCTACCAATGATCCAGTCCTCTAACGACCTAGATAATATGGTTACGTTTCATATTTATTTAGTGATTTGTAACCAAAAAAACAAAAACAAACAAAAAAACTGGTATATAAATCCAATTAATTTACTGACCAGAGAACTGACAGCTGCTTTTCCTCCTACAGAGCAAATTCATTCATCGATTACATGTTGTGGTGAGCAAAGGAGAGTGACCAGAACAGTTACGGCAAAAAGCGTCCGTCCATCTTCACAACAAAGAAAAGCCAGAACTGAGCCATAGGGATGGTAACCCTCCACAAAGGCTTCCGATGGCATCGGCAATTTTACTCTATAATCCTGCCTCCCGTCAAACACATCTTCTTCCATGGGAGACAATACGCTGTCTAGCAGTGGAGCGACGATCACCTCTCATGCTTTTACTCCTTCTGGGTCAGTGGAAAGTTTACCATGAACATGCTGGTTTTCTTCACTCCTTTCTTACAAGACAAACTCCAAGTACCGGAGTTGTTTACAGAAAACTAATGCCAAAACTCTGATGGGTGACTGGACTCCTATAGAGGGCCCTGTGTTGAGCCTTACCGGAGGAGTAAGAATTAGTTCTAGTTAGAAGGTTAAAATCTTAAATTTAACTGTAGCAGACAGGTGTTTCAAAGGGGTTTATAGAGAGGAACATACATTTCCTTTAAGATAGACAACCCATTATGAAGAAAAGGCAGAAACAAGGAGTTCACCCAGGGCAAGCTGAAACGAAGCCTGGCACCCCATCTCGAAGAGAGGCAGTGGGAAGAGATGAATGAGAGGGGCTAGAGAAACAGTCAAGTGTTCAAAATAAGGAGAACTCACCGATTCTCTGGAAATGAGTGACTATGTAATAAAGGAGACAAAGAGACAACTCCCAGAACTACAGTCTGTGAGGCTGGGAAAACGGTGGCATAACCAGCTTAAAAAGTTAGCACTGGAGGAAGTCTCGACTAGCCATGACTACAACTACAACTTCCTTAAACACAGGACAATTCTACAAATAAATACAGCTTACTTCCTCCATGTAAATGGTCATAAGCAATGCAAGAGAAAAAAAGACGCATGACAGAAAGTTAATATCTGCTTGAACATGCAGTAACTGCTTCTGTCTTACTAGTTTTCTGTAATAGACAAGTTTTAAACAAGGGAGAAAGCTTGTCTAAAACATTATATATAACATACTATGTAACCATCTAAAGCAGCAAACACAGTGTCAATGATGACTAGATAACAGACCAACAGGGAAGAGAATCCCATAGACAGAAAGCCTTTAATCAGTTAAGGTCTAAACTTACAAACCATCTGTCTAAAACTTTTGGCTGGGTACCATGTACTCCATGAAGATAACAAAATGCCATGTGGTTGATAACTCAGTTATCACAGTTATAATCCAATGGACAGTGAGGGCAAGCCTCCTGGTGTTATAGAATCTTTTCCACCTTGTATGTAGAATTTACCTACCCATTCATGCATGCGAGCATCATACTGTAGCATTGATACACGTATAAAGCATTTGGCTGACTCCGGTAGCATCTGATTTTGGAAATAAAATTTGTGGGAATCAGTAAGCTTTTAAAGCATACCGTTGCATCTGTTTTAGTTACATTCATTTTCTGTCCCATTTTAGAATCATTAATTATACCATGCTTAACAATTTTCCTAGTTTACTAGCAGATGTTCAGAGAATAATAATTGGGGCTGGAGATGGAGCTCAGAGATAGGGCACTTGCCTAGCGCACACAAGGTCTTGGGTTCAATCCCCAGTGCTTCACAAGAAAAAAAATGTAATTGAAATTTTGAAAAATATGACAGATCACTTAAGTCTGTTTTACATTTTTAAAATAATTGCTAACATTTGCTTAATGATTTCTATTAATTTAATACACTTCTATTAGCAACCTACCATGTGTCATGTTCAATCAATATTCATTAAGAACCCAATATTCCAGATCTGCACACAGAGCTTCAAATGCCAGGTTCTAGGTACCCTGTAATACATTCCTGCAAATCCTTACCAGGCAGCTGTCTTACTTACTTCACAGACGAAGGAATGGAGAGGTTAAATCACTTGCCCAAATTCGGTGTCCAGAAACACTGTGGAGATTCCAAGCCTATCTTATGCCCATGAGCCTCCCTGTAGGCTTTATGGCACCTTTTCTCTCTTAAATGAATATAATAATGATGAAAAGTCATACGTTCTTACAAGCAACCAGTGAACTTAATACATTTTAGGGGAGAAGAAAAGTCTGCCCAGGCTGCCACAACACCAAAGGCTACATCAAATAAATGAGGAGTGCTGTTTCTGGCCTCTTGGCATAAAACTCTGAAGAGAAGGGTAACTAACCAGCTTCTCCTCAACTGTACTCTTCGTGGGTGTCCAACAAGCACCCTGTTCTACTGTGCAGAGAGGATAATGTGTACCGACGGGCAGTTGTGGTCGTGATCTGAACTGTTAAATACTGTGGAGAACTGGCAAGACACCTTTGAAGAAACCCTACCTGATGGATAAAAGGTATGAGGCGAAGACTCGTTTGACTGAATTTAATCCAAATGTAATCTGGAGAAGTCACCAAATATAATTTTGGGATTGGGAAAGTATGTGGTCCTGATGAGAGAGAAAAGTGGAATTGCTAGACCTAAAGTTGGAGACACTTTATAATGGGTCGTTAAGACACAGGAAAAAATTATAGTCATTTAAAATTAAAAGTGGCTCAGTAAAGATTGGGGGTTTGTTTGTTTAGAAGCACACAATTATAGAAAGGAAAAATTACAGCCATTTAGTCCAAAGTCCACCATTTTCAAGACAGAAAGACTAAAAGAGTTGTAGAAGCCCACAAGTTAGTGAGCAAAAATGGACCCAGACACCTCCAGTCCAGAGGATTGTTTGTAAAATCGTGCCCCAATCTCGCCACTCAGATCACTTTGAACTTTAACAATTTATAGATATCCAGGATCATCACTTGAGACTGAGTCAGCAGCAAGTCATTATGTGCATGCATTAGGAGAATCTTCTAGAATAGTTTTCCACCCTGAAATATTCTTACACAGCTACTACTAGTTTTGGCTTCCCCCCACAACCTCACTGATGCTCCACTCCTGCTTAAACTCTCCCAGGAATTACAGGTTAGACTCTAAGGTCACGGATGAAATATGGTGTTCTTCAGAACCTCACTCCAATCTACTGCACCTATCACTTCCCCGATGGATGTGGACATCAACCTTTCTGGAAACAAGGATGCTTTCCAGAAAGCATCATTCCTTCATAAAGAAGTGTCGCCTCTGCCAGTCATCCTGCTGGCTTCAATGACACCTTTTTTAAAGAACTCTCTCCTCCCTGGCAGTTAATCACCATCACCTACGTATGTCTGTAACACATGTTCATAATATTAATCTCATGTATCACACTGCACTTCAATTCCACATTATTCTTGTTTGCCTGTGTCACGTGCCCTAGGCAGAGGTCATTTTTATTTAGTTGGGTATGCCTAGTTCTTAAACCAAATTTCTTCCAAAGAAAATACC